AAGATTCCCGGATGGCATTGCCCTTCTCGATCCTGTGGAAAACATGGACATCAAAGATGAGAAGTTTACAGCCCTAGTCAATGTAAGTCTTGGTCAATTACCAACGCATCGCACGGAATTAAATACTGTGGACAGAAAATCGATGTCATGGAGCAAAAAATGTTCTCAAATCCATTGCACAATGATCCCCGTCTCCCAGAAGTATACACGCTGTACGCCCAAAAGCAGGAGGCACAAACAAAGATACGGGATCTGAAAAAGCGTATTATGGCGACACACGATGTCCTGCAACTCGAGGAGTTGAAATACCGGAAACGTGTACTCCGTCGACTTGAGTGCACGAACTCATCCGACATCGCAGAACTAAAGGGCCGTGTAGCTTGCGAAATCAGCACTGGGGACGAGCTTCTGCTTACTGAACTTATCTTCAATGGCGTCTTCAACTCCCTACTCCCTGAGCAATGTGCCAGTCTACTTAGCTGCTTTGTTTTCACAGAAAAGGTATCCAGGAAGGTTTCGTTCTGAGTGCATTAGTTAACATCCTGATTTCAGAGTGAACACGTGACCAAGCTCACAGAAGAGTTAGCAGCGCCATTGCGCGTTATGCAAGAAATTGCGCGCCGAATAGCGAAAGTGTCACAGGAATCGAAATTACCGTTGGTCGAGGAAGAATATGTTGCGTCTTTCAAAGTCGAATTAATGGACGCCGTTTTCCAATGGTGTAGAGGAGCTTCGTTTTCCGACATTTGCAAAGTTTGTCAACGCTACCCTTCATCGTGAACTTACTAATTTATTGACCGGACGCAGCTGACCGATCAATTTGAGGGAAACCTGATACGTGTCTTTAGGCGCCTTGGTGAATTACTTCGTCAGATGGCTCAGGCTGCCAAAGTCATTGGCAACTTGGAACTTCAAGAAAAATTTCAGAAGGCATCTGAAATGCTAGAACGCCCTAATTCTGTCATTTTTTGTTCTTCCCTGTACCTGTAGAATCTATGATGCTCCAACCCTCACTTTCCTCAGGACGGGTAATTTCTTGCATGTCTGTCATGTTGATAAACCAGAACATTTGGGCCATTGTTTGCGGAAATCAGAAGCAGATATGATGATGGTTATGCAAAATGTTTGCGGGGACGAATTACACTGAAAGCTAAAATAAAAGCATGTGCAACCAATCTGGTGGTCAAACGATCGTGGGCAGGGTACTGTCATAACAATGGAGTTGCAACTGACAACAATATCAATGGCACGAGCTAAGCACCAATCCGCCACTTCCTAAGAACCCGCTACCATCTCTTACCTCCGCACGTTCATAGTTTCGCGCCATCGTGCATGCTGCATGCTGTGCCAAGTCACACCCAATTGCACTCTCTAGCTCCAGCCTGACTCATTATACTAGTAACTAATTCGATTCTACTACTTTCTAGGTCTAGGTTACTTTAGCTACAACGTCTGTTTTCGTCAGTTTTTGCTTTCCCTGTGTAAATCCTATTCATCTTTTTTTTCCTCTTAGAATTATTTTCACTAGGAACGCTACACCTATAGTTTGAGGACTAATCCATGTCCTGAGCCAATTCAGCATTACAGAACGGTTTTGAAGACTTCAATGAATCGTCCTTTACTCGTTCTCTATAGCGAGAAGATACAGCATCCTCCGTATCCTTAGCCATTGTAGATATATCACTTGTGCCGAGTAACCAAATTCTATACCGCTGATAGTGACATCGATATTCTTATTCCACTTTCCGGTACTAATACAATAAACGTGATAGCATGTTTGCATATTTGCTTGGATGATGACCTCGACATTTACAGCTTCTACGCAGCAGCACCGACACCATGCCTGAAGCGAACTGCCTCAGACGCAGGTTTGACAGCCAAAGGCTTGGCAGTGGGGGAACCGATAGCCTTGGCAATGCGGTCGGACAGAGATTGGTCGACAGATGCAAAGTAAGAAACTAGATTAACTTTAGTTGAGCAACAATATCTGGAGATCATATTTGAACGTACGAGTCCGGGCTCTAACTTCAGCGCTTTTGGCACCACCAAGGTGGCCAGCAATGTTGGAAACCAGGCGCGCCCTGGCTGCGTCATCCATTACATTTTGGTAGAGTGCGCGCGGTTGCTCGAAGTCAACTAGAAAATTCGTCATCGTCATCAAAGTCCAACAAACAGCATTTTGGCCGCCTACGCTCGGTGATCTCGCTCAAGTCCCAGAATGCTCCACCGACCCAGCTTTCATGCTGTCTGGCTCTCTCATAGTCTCTGGGTGTGCCATTTTTAGATCCCTTGTTGCTCAAGTATGTCAAGGGCGTAATGGAACTCTGATAATTTGGCCGGGCTCCCTGGCTGTTGAATGCCATAGCGCCATCGCGTTGGAAGTTGGCAACAGGAATAATAGGGGCATTGACAGGGAGCTGGTGGTAATTCGCGCCAAGCCGGTGACGGTGGGTGTCAGGGTAAGAGAACATTCGTGATTGAAGGACAGGGTCAGCAGAGGCCTCGAAGTAAGGAATCAAATGGCTGGGCGCAAAAGCAGCCTATTAAGAGTTATTTGAATATATCGATCAGCCCACATCGTGGCGGAATGAAATGGATTCCCATCACCTGTTCAATTTCAGCGAAGTAATTTTGCGGGTTCTCGTTGAGCACGAATTTTCCTACGGGGCGCAAGGGGTAGTCCTTGTGGGGCCAAACCTTTGTCAAGTCCAGGACATTGTAACGGAAGTTTTCGGCCTGCTCTGGAGTCATAGTTTGCTGGATTGAAGGTTTAATATTGAAGTTGAAGGCATAAATGATAAGTCACTGACAACGTAGACGGTCCAGGACGGGAATTTTCCAGCGTCTATGGTTTCGAACAGCGATTGAATACCATAATCGGGGTTGTCTGCGGACAAATTGCGAGCTGTAGCAGTATCAAGGACCTATGGAATACATTGGCAACAAATAGTTGAGTCAAAAGGCACACAAACCTTGAATCCGCCATCAGCAATACAGTGAATTTGGGTGTAGACCCATGAGCCGTCATCTTTCACGAGCTTGAAGGTATGGCCGGAATAACCGTGCATGTTGTGGTAGCCGTCGGGTATCCCGCGGTCCGAAAACAGTATCATGACTTGATGTGCCGATTCCGGGTTTTGGGACAGGTAGTCCTACGAGGAAAAATGTTTGGACTTGAACGCTTTGAAAGCGAAATGGATCTTACCCAGAACATGTCTGCATCTTTCAAGTGTGTCTGGGGGTCACGCTTTTGGGTGTGAATGAAGGGCGGGAACTTGGCGGGATCTCTGATGAAGAACACAGGTGTGTTGTTGAACACCCAGTCTAGGTTACCCTGTTCTGTTTTCAATTTCAGAGAGAAACCACGGGGATCGCGAGCCGTGTCGGCGGAACCACTTTCCCCACCGACAGTAGAGAAACGGGCGGTGATTTTAACTTGCTTGCCAACGTCAGTGAATAGTTTGCAAGAGGTGATGTCGCTGAGATCGTGGGTCGTTTCGAAATAGCCATGAGCACCAGCGCCTTTGGCATGAACCTAGTATATGATGGATATAGAAGCTTATTCATCTGAATGTCGCACTTACCACACGCTCAGGGATCCGTTCCCGATCAAAATGAGCAAGAAGATCGATGTGATGGAAGTCTAATATGTGGATCAGCATGAAAATATATATTAACTAAATCAACCAACCCTGAAGGAGGAGGGGTCCCACAGGACCAACACGTTCAGCAGCAAGGGGATGCGCTACGGCTGCACCATTAGAGGTGGTGTATACTGCGCCATCTGTAGCAGCGAAGACTTGCGGGGAGGGCATGATTGAGAGATGATGAGTGCTGAAGAGAAAGATGGGGATATGATTCGAGATGGAGAGTTGATTATAAGTACCCCTGGGAAGTGTCTTACGAATACGTAGATGATCACGCGCTCCGCTGCGCCCCGAGAATGATTCGAGCGCTCCGTTGTGCACCCATTAGGACTCAGCTGTGTTGTGCACACAAGAATAGTCCATCCGATCCGATAATGATGACACTTGGTCGACAAATGGCTTACTGCCCCTGTCACTCATATCTTGCCCAATTGCGCTACGAGGCAGTGGTTGATTAGACAACCATGGAAATGCAATTCCATTATTGGGAGAGCCTCGTGGAAAGATGCAGTTAGATCGTGAGTACTTGAGTACTTGATACACTCCCACGAGCGTTTTGACTGGAGTCTTGACCAGAGCTCGCACGGTCGCACCTGGGAGCCGCTTGTGAATAACCAATCAAGCTTGAGATTAAAAAAACAAATACCGTGATTCCCTCATCCTTACAGGTTGACGCCACGAGGTTCAGGAAACGTGTCTTATGCTTTAAAAGTCTACCTGATACTTGATGACACGGCGGCCTGACGCTTGACGTCCAAGAGCTTCTGGGCCACTATCGAAATATGACATGACTCAGGATTCCATTTTCCAGATAGCATTGATAAAACGTGGCATTGATCGACTGCGAACGCATCCCAGAGCCTCTAATCAGTTCCCAGAGAGTTACCCAACTCGTTAGCCAGCCATGAATAACTAACAATGACGCATGGATCACTGTTAGGCGAGATGTCGGAACTTGAACAAGCTGGATACCATGTGATTGCCGAAGTTGATATACTGGAACTCTCCAGTTCGGCCATCCGCATGAGGAAACTCCCAAAGATTTATGCACTGAATCTAGGTTATTGCACAATTCAAGCGAGATGAGTCCACTTTCTCATGTTGGATATTGGAGGTACCTAGTCGGTGTGTAAAGTGTCATTGTGGAACACACCCATGAGAACTCTCAGACCGTGCTGATAGTATATTTCATACGAAACTACATCACGACAACTCGGAAGTGCGCTAAGATGTTGACGAATCTGGTGAGAAAGGCTTTGTACCATCGGAACGATCTCAGTGGCAAGAATCAACTGTAGAGGTCTGGCGAAGATCGTTGTCAGTATAATGGAGGTGTGATGCCAAGCATTACCTTCATTTACTACGTTCTTTGATTATCTTCACACCAGGTAACATGCGTCTACAAGACATGGATGGCTTGGCGACTTCTGGTTGAGTATTGAGTGTCGGTAGCGATGCTGAAGGTGTGCTATTACCGTCCGCAGAAAGCCCTATATCAATAGGTTCCACGCGGGCAGTAAGACGTCGAACGGTTGGGCCTGCGGGATTTCTGGAAGAGAGAGAACCCTTCAAACCAAGACACTGCCTTGAGGCCGAACTTAATAACGCAGCCGATGGCGGTGGTTTTGGTGGCAACGAATTGAACGAATTGGTGGTGCTTGATTCCATCTGGCGTAACTTTGCCTCCATCGTCGCAATCTTGTTATCCGTACTAATAATGAGGTAAGTCAAAAGGTACCCTTCTGAACATAAAATTCACCCTTCTGACCGAGCATGGATTCCACTTTTTATCATACTCAGAGTAGTCGGTCGCGCATCAATTCTTCTCGCCCTACCCACTTGTCGACTTCCACTGGGCTGTTCGAGCGGAGCTTGATAAGCAAAAGTGACAGCCAGCTTACGACCCCGCAATAGCTTCCCATTGATGTTTTCTAATGCCGTCTGGGCATCCTGGTGCGGGTCATTTATTAGCCAAGCTGACAATGACCAGAAAGGACGATGGCCCGCCACATGCACCACCATATATCAACGCAATCACGACTAAACGACGGCGCTTTACAGAATTATGACTTACACCTTCGTGCAAATATTGTATGAAGGCATATCCACGCGGCTTTCCTTTGTTTGGCCCCGTCTTGTGAAAGAGGAAGTCAAGTTTCGATACTTTGCCGAACTTGGTGAAGACCTGTAGAAGCGCATATCTGTCCGCAATTAGAGGATGTGAGCCGAACCACAACTAACTGACTCACTCATCGACGGTAGGATGTAAATTTCCAATATACAAACGATCCCTCAATTGTGAAGATGAACTGGACGCCTGAGGTATAGCAATAGCTTGTTCTTGAGCTTCTGGCTCTGGAAACCAGAGATGAGCGCTCAAAGATGAGTCGTCCGTGTCTGCTTGTGGAGGTTGTGCAGGAATATCCTGAGAATTTGTGACCATTGAGTATTGACAAGCAGTGAATGTTGACCAGGTCACCGGGGGTACATGGTATGTGAATTTGTATCAGAGTTTGGTCAAGAATGAAGTCATGGCGAGTCCTGACGGAGTTTCAAATGGACTAACAACAAAGTCGCTCGCTGCGCGAAAACCATACCAACAACGCGGGTGGGTCCGGATAGATAATTGCTATTTTTAAATTTCAACATCCAATTTACAAAATGGCGGGTTTGCCGTGTAAGAAAAGAGAGAACCGCAGACTTCGTGAGGAATGAGATGCAAGTAAGGATTGATACCGCTATGGCTACATGTAGTTGTGACGTGCAAGAATAAAAATTGGTCCTGATTGAAGCAAACTCAAATGCCGATCGGTGTCTGGCTGGATGCCAAAACCAACGTCCATGTACATTATGATGTCTTGCTACTGGGCATCCACATGGATCTGGTTAATGTGGCGCAGAAGTGCATCTTTACGGGACAGGAATTTCTGGCAATGAGGGCATTTGACTGTCATCGAAGGCAGGCCTGAGCTAAACTTGCAACTCCCCAAGTGCCTCTCCATGTCGTTTCGACGCGTAAAAGACTTCTTGCAGCCATGAATTTTCATCAAACAGTCAAATCGCTCTTCCTTGGCTCCTTCGTGCCTTGTCACTCTTGAGGAACTATAACTGACTTTCCGAACCTTGGAGGCTGCCCGTTTATGGATGCGATTGGGTTGGTAATCGTCATCGTCATCGTCATCGTCGGTCCGCCGGCGCTTGGCTCCTCGACAAACGTCAGCCGGTTTAATACCAACATGACTTGGGTCGGAAGGCGACGAGAGCTGACTCGGATGCTGTACGTTAGTACGGAGCGGACAGGGGGCTGAGCTTGGAGAAATGCAGATTTGCACTTGTGATGTAACGTTCTCCGTCAAGCCCTCTGTTAATCTTAGGAAACGAGATCGCTCCGCAGGATTAGAGTCTGGCGAGATAGACGACGAGTCATGCGCCAGCTCAGCATCGTCAACTGAAAGCACGAGCTTCGGCTGAGAGAGATTCTTTAAGGATGATACTGGAGAAGGCATATCCAAGACCTCCCGGCAGGCAAGATCTTCTTGTAATTGTTCAGGATAAGCTGAGTCTTCCATAAATCCTTCTTCCTCAAAAAACGGAGTGCACTGCGTTGCGACATCGAGAGGCACAAAGTCTTCCAACGGACCACAGAAGGGGTCAGGGAGAAGGGCGCCGCCTTGTGGAGTCAAGGGGGACCTGCTCGACGCGACACTGAACGGTGATTCATCAGGGCTCAACTGCGGTAAACCTAAGAAGTCTCCAGTTGCAGATGATCCTGGATATCGATATCGGGCAGCCTTAAGACACACGTGTCAGCATGGACTTGTGAGATCTTCGATTCACGCACGTTAGATGCTTGCAAATGGTGGATAGCCAGATTCTCGATATATGTTGCATCGTCCGTGTCCTCGAGGTGAGGATCGAGGTCATCAGAAGACCACAGCACCGTTGGTGCTGTGAATGACTCGGACTCGAAAGTTCTGTCCTCAGTCAGTCAATCGACCATTCACTTGACCATAAAATTAAGATTCCGGTGCTCACCTTAAACCATCCATAAAATCGAGCTTCGATGGGAGCTCGGTTTCTCGTTTAAAGGATTCTGAATCCTCAGGATATACGAGGTATTCATTGTAGTTGCTAGACGACGGAAGACGCATGTGAGATGAGGTAGATGGTTAGGGAAAAGTGTCGGATAAGATGCAAGGAAGTGCACCTTCCAGGCGACCTTCTTATCGGTCTTGAAAGCCCTGTTGACACTTGAGGGTCCATCCCTCACAAAAACGTGTTGTACACGCGTCAACAAGACTGTAGCCTTGATGCGGAAGTGCATCTTAATTGTTCCGCGCGTCTTTAGTGGGCTAAGAAGCCAATCGTAGGCGCTGGACCGTCGTATTTGTTAGATCTACGAGGTTGTTGTATTATCTTGAAGAGAATAAAGGACCAACCGATATCACTTTTTTCAAGCTATGTGCCAGCCCACGACGTACTTCAAGAGCGTCAAAGGTCGTGCATGTACATCCTGTACGTAGGCACTGTAGATGGCAAGTCCCGGCCGGTCGATCCTGTCTTGTCACTCAGTTCTAGAAACCGCGGAGTACGGACCTTTACGAAGACAATTTGAGGGACAAAAGTGGCCCGGAATTTGATGTCAGAATAAATATGGTAGTATGTCCACCATTATGTAATACTATTGGTCGATAGACCAGAATTTGAAATATTCACTTAGCCGCTTCTATTTGTTACACCAGTGATCAGAGGCGCTCATGCTAACTACAAGCTTTTGTAAGTTGTTGACTTTACTCGTGGAGCTTGTGCGTGGCGGTACAATTGTCGTGACCGGACCTTGACCAGGAATTGTGGCGTGCGCACTGCGCGTGCTGATCTGCGACCAGCTGCATATGGTGATGGTAGCACTTCATGACGATCCATCCAGGCTCAGCGCAACAGCCATGCCACGGTGCGAATACGGTAGTTTGTAAGTACATCCACTGTATCGCGGCACAGCTAGATGATATCTAACTTCATGTATCGCCAGCTGTTGCAAACATTGGTATCTCCGTACCGTCAAATAGGATAGAGCACGGGTATGCCGCAAACACCCTTCATGCCCGTAGAATTCGGGAGGTATTTGAGCAAGGCTGCTCATCAAAAAAATCAGCAAGTAGTTCTTGAAATATACAAAATGGTAAGGGAATGGATGGTGTCCAAGTGTTGCTTACTGATATCATAACTTGCTTACTATTTTTAGTGGCGGGGTATCTGCTAGTATGATACTTATCACAGAAAATTTACCAGGGGTTTTAGTAGGCAGGCCTTAATGAAAGGGCAATCCGTTTCTTCTGTATCAGATGGACGTCATATATCTGAGGCACAAACGAGTCTTAGTGGGCGACGAATTCGAAAGTATTAATTCATGCTCATGCGCAAAGCTGTCTTGAATCACTGGCCAAACGGTGTCATCTTCAAGGCAGTAAGTACTCCTTGAAAACTCTATGGTGGGCATGACGCTGAGATGATACTTCGACCCCGTATGTCACACTATTCATCTGCCATAGCCGCCCACTTGCTCTCATCGCCTTAGTCCTTGTTTATTTTCAGGCATTCATTTTGAGATTATCACTAGATCGTGTACATCGATTCTGTCTGCCACCTGCGATGATTGATACCCGAACAATAATTCTCAGGTGATAATTCCGCAAGCCTTTGATCGACGATACTGATGAGCAACCATAGGCTGAAGTTTGAAACACACCTTTGTTGTTTGCGATCGAGCTTATGGTGCATCGATGCATCTTTGACCTTACAGGTTCGTATGCACTCCATATGTATGTATTTATTCAATATGCCAATACATCACCAATACATTTCATAGAATGGGGACGATTATCAACCCAACTAATTAATCCAGTATATGAGAACATTCAACACTACCTCTCAGGTAATATAATATAATCATGATACGCCGGGTGAGTCGCAAAGATGGCGCAGGTCGAGGTGAGCTCTCGCACAACATCAGCTATAAGGGAACGACCAAGTATCTCATGTGCGAGATCGAGGAGCTGGGAATACATATACTGGTTTTATGACGAGTGCTAGCAGCGCACCAATGTTCCAAAGAAACCTTGAAATGATGAATATGAACATTGACTACCTAATTAGGAACATTGGTTCAAGTGATCCATCATTCCGCTGCAAAGTTCAGTTACTGTCACGGTCCATGATCTGTATATCCATAACCTGTTCGCGACCGTGAGCATACCCAGCTGTGTGAAGTATTCCAACGTTTCCTTTGACAATTTGCTTTGCTTCTTATTCACGACCATCACTCCAAGTTGACTGCACGTTTAGACACCACCTTATACCTGGATATCCCCGAAGTTATTCAGTCATCCCAGACAACTTACAAGCCAAACTCAGTTTCGGTGGCCCATATCCCTGCTGATGCCAGCTCCTCGTCCCTCTCTGAGTGCAGAAGCCGCGCGCGCCGCTGCGCTACAGGCTGAGTTTAATGAAAAGAAATGGGTGTGGGTACCAGACGAGAAAGACGGTTATCTCGCTGGTTGGGTAAACCAAGAAGATGACGAAATTGCAGAGATTATTATGTCTTCTGGTAGCGAGGTATCTTAACCCCAATTTCCTTCGTGATGTGCCAATCGCTGACACGAAACGCGTCAGATTCGTCAGGTCCCTTTGTATGCACTCTCCAAGATGAACCCTCCCAAGTTCGATCGTGTCGAAGACATCGCAGATCTCACATTTTTAAACGAAGCGAGCGTCGTGCATAATCTGCGTCTAAGGTATGGATCCGGAGCTATCTATGTGAGTCCTATCCTGTCAGCAATTTCTTGCGCACATTCATAAGCATCCTATCTTGCACGCCTACTAAAACGCACCGAGTAGACATACTCTGGCTTATTCTTGGTTGCTATAAACCCTTACCAGAACCTTCCGCTGTATACAGACGCGATTATATCTCAGTATCGCAGTAAACGACGCGATGAGAACCCTCCTCATATCTTCGCAGTTGCGGAGCGCGCATGGGTTAACATGGGGGAGGAGCGCGAAAATCAGAGCATTCTTATAACGTCGGCCATCCCTACCTTTCGGTGAACCATGCAACTAATTCGCCGTGGACAGGGGAGAATCTGGTGCAGGAAAAACTGAAAGCACGAAGAAAGTTATACAATACCTGTCTGCTATAGCAACTGATGCTCACCCGCGCCATCCTTCACATTCACATTCTGCTTCCATGGCATCTTCATTCCCCGCATCCCCACCTTTGGGTCTGCCCAGAAGAAGCTCTTTCCATACCAAAGCTACTCATGTTGTGTCTAACAGCACTGGAGGTGCCAAGGGTCGTCTAGGCTTGCTCGAGCGACAGATTCTCCAAGCGAATCCCATCCTTGAGGCATTCGGTAACGCGCAGACTCAGCGGAACAACAACTCAAGTAGATTCGGGAAGTTTATTAGGATTAGTTTTTCTCCGGACGGGAGTATATCCGGGGCGAATATTGACTGGTACCTGCTAGAGAAGAGTCGAGTCGTGGTTCGCAGTGCTGCAGAGCGCAACTTTCACGTATTTTACCAGTTACTATCAAGTGGAGGATCATTAAAAGGCAAGTCTTCGAAATACCCTCACCCCAATTGTTTCTGATATTCGCGCTACTACAGACACTCTTCTGTTGGATCGCCCTTTAGATGAATATGAATTTCTCAACAGAAGCAGGCGAGAGGTTGATGGCATCAACGATCGTGAAGATTGGGACGCTCTGATAGTACGTTTTGTGAATACGAAGTCTTTGATACTCGACTAATACACTACCAGAATGCTCTTGATATTGTTGGCTTTACGGTCGCCGAACAGTTCGACCTTTTCCGCATCATCGCGGCAATTCTTCATATTGGCAACATCGACATCCGTTCTACCAAGTCGGATGATGCATTCATGCCAGATCCCTCGCAAGCTGAGCGTGTCTGCCATTTGCTCGGTATTCCTATCGCAGAGTTCACAAGAGCTATCTTACGGCCCAGGGTTCTTGCTGGTCGTGAGTGGGTCACGCAGGCGAGGACGGGGCAACAGTCTCTCGACGAACTCGCGTCCTTGAGCAAGTCGTTGTACGAGAAGTCCTTCGGTGCACTGGTTGAGCGCATCAACCGTGCGCTAGATCGTCCGTCCTCTAAGTCGACGTTCATTGGTGTTCTCGACATCGCAGGCTTCGAGATTTTCGAAATTAACACTTACGAACAATTGCTCATCAACTATACCAACGAGAAACTGCAACAATTTTTCAATCACCATATGTTCGTCCTCGAGCAGGAAGAGTATTCCAGGGAAGGCATAGAATGGGATTACGTAAACTTCAAGCTGGACTTGCAACCGACCATCGACCTCATTGAGAGCAGCGGGAACGCTATTGGTATCCTCAGTTGCTTGGACGAGGAATGTATCATGCCCAAAGCCACCGATCTCACGTTCACAGAGAAAGTCCATTCGATCTGGAGTGGAGATCTGCGCGCAACAGACAATCCTCATCCAGGCCGGACGAAATACACCCTACCGAAGTTTGAACAAGGCTTCATCATCACGCATTACGCAGGCAAAGTCGAATACCGCACCGACGGGTGGTTAGAGAAGAACAAGGATCCCCTCAATGATAATCTCACACGTGTACTGGCATCGTCATCGGAACCTTATGTGGCATCGCTTTTCCAAGATTTTGCTGGCGTCTTCGCCGACGTGCCCCCATCTTCCAGTGCTGGGTTCTCCGCAGGTAAAAGGCGCACCATCAAGAGAGGAGCATTTAGAACAGTTGCGCAACGGCACAAAGAGCAATTAGCGCTTCTGATGGCGCAGTTGCAGGCGACACAACCACATTTCGTACGTTGTATCGTGCCCAACGTCAACAAGAAACCCGGAAGGGTAGATGTGCCCCTCGTCCTCGATCAATTGCGTTGCAATGGCGTTTTGGAGGGTATTCGCATAGCGCGTCTTGGTTATCCCAATCGGCTTCTTTTCGTCGAGTTCCGCCAGCGCTACGAGATCATGACTCCAGGCATTATTCCTCGTGGATACATGGATGGTCGCAAATCGTGCATCCGTATTGTAGAAGCTTTGGATCTCGATACTGAGTTGTTCCGTGTGGGAACATCCAAGATATTCTTCAAGGCCGGAGTCCTCGCCGATCTCGAGGAGCGGCGAGATGCCCTTCTATTTGACGTCTTTTCGAGGCTACAGGCTGTTGCTAGGAAGTTCTCCGCACGCAGACAGATGAAGAAGGTTCTCAATCGTGCGGTGGCGATACGAACGATCCAGCGTAATGCTCGCGTGTACGGGGAGTTGCGAGATTGGCCATGGTGGCAGCTATACACTAAAGTAAGGTGGTTCTTGTCCATTTCGAGGTAAATTTTTGATCATGTTAAACAGGTCCGTCCGTTACTCGCCGCGACACGAAATGACGAAGAGCTCAGAAGGAAAGACGTTGAGCTGCAACTTGTAAAGGAAAGAGCGGAGCGCGACCAACGGGAACGGGAAAACCTGGAGAATGTGAAGATGACTCTTCAGGCGGAAAAACGAAAGATCATTGAAGAGTTGGAAGCCGAGCGTGCGCTTACCCTCGACAAAGATGTCATGTTAGACAGAAGCAAAAAGAGGGAAGCAGAACTTGAAGAAGAGATCGTTGCCTTACACGCCGATCTCGACGTCCTTGATTCGCAACTGGACCGTGCCCTGCAACTTCAGAAGGAGGGCGATGAGAAACATGAAACTTTACGTGTCGCGTTCGACCAGGCTGCAGAGCATCTTGTCCGCATGGAGGGTCAACAAAATGAATGGCGAGCTAAAGAGGCGGAACTTTCGGACATTGTATTAACCCAGGAGAGCAGCATGGTTCAGCTGCAGCAGGAACACCAAGCTCTCCAGAAAGCCAATGAGGACCTCAGAGCCCTTGTTTCACAGCACGACGAAGATTTGGCGCGTGTCAAGGAGCGTTCTGAAGCTTTAGTGAGCGACTTGCAGGCCAAGCTCGGTGTGGAAATCCAATCTAAGTGAGCCCCAATAACTTACCGCGATCTTTGGTCTGATGTTTCATGCAGAGAGTCGCTCGGCAGCAAGGTCGACCAACTGGAAAGAAGCTTGAGTTACCTCAAACAGCAGCTAACAGAGATGACTCGTACATCTGCTGAGTATTCTGCTATGATCCAGAACAAAGAGGACCAAAATTCACAGCTGCTTTCGACCATCACCGCATCCGCCGACGAGCATTCTCGACTGCAAAAAGAGATTGTCGAACTCCACGCTGCATCTGACAGACAGCGAGCGGAGATCCATGCTTCCAGGGCCGATGTAGATCGTGCAGTATCTGCCAAGATAAAACTTCAGAACGAGCTGGATGAGCTCCGCACAATCATGGAGACCAAGACCTCCGAAGACGCCCGCCGGCTCGAAGTCGAGAAAAGCAAAGAGGAAGAGCTTACCGAACTCCGCTCTCAGTCTTCCCAGTTACACGCAGAACTCAGCATTTTACGGGAAAACGCTCTTGACAAGGAAAGCAAGCTCGCTGCCGAGCTAGACGAGATGCGTCGTCAGCACAAGCAGCTGGATTCAGCTCACAGCTCTCTTTTAGACCGCGAGCGAGGCTTGAAGGAACGGACGTCAAAGCTCGAGGCAATACTCGTGGATCTCGAAAAAGCCAAAAGAGTGGTTGAATCAGAATTGCAGGCATTGCGATCCCGTCAGATTGACTCGGATGGTCGGTTAGCAGAGACATTGAGGGCGAAAGAGGTAATGGGGCAACTATTTGCATTTGTTGGACTGGGTGGATCTTACTCATACTTTATTAGATCCTGGAACGACAACTCCACGCTGCTCAGACCAAATATAATGAGATCGAGGATACGATTTTGCAGATGGAAAGAGATGCTCACGCTGGCGAACGTCAGTTGGAAACCTTGAAGAAACAGCTGGAATCCGAATCAGCCAAGTGCAAGAACCTTCAACACGTCATGTTAGCTCAGAAAAAGGAGTATCAAGAACGCATTGCGAAGTACGACCATGATCTTAACAAAGCAATCACTGATCTCAAGAATCGGGAGTGGGAGCTCAAGCAAATGGAGAGCAAACAGGATAAGACGATTGTCGAACACGTTTACGTTCTGGAGAAGGCCAAGAAAGTGACCGATCAGCAACTGAGAGAGGCGCAAGAGCAGCTGCAGAAGGATGCCGTCTACATTCGATCTTTGGAGAAAGCCAAGGCAAGCCTCACCCGGGAGGTGGAAGATTTCGCCAGGGGAGGTGGGGTGGATCAGGCAGAGCGTAGGGCCTCGGAACGGGCTATCAAGTTCCTTGAGGAGAAAGCTAACAAAGCACTCGCCAGCGCAGAAGCAAAGGCTAAAACAGAACGTGCTGAATTTTCTGGTAAATTTTGGACTCCTACACCCTAAACAACACTGACTCTCAAGATAGTCCGACGCGCCCTCGCCGACTTGGAAAAGACTCATAATGATTTGGTGACAGAGAAGAGGACACTCGAAGAGCGTTTCCAAGACACTCAGCGGAGGCTCCATGAATTGGAGGTTCAGATTGAGGCCGAAGATAGAGAATCTTCTGAGTTGGGCATTCACAGGCACCGTCTAGTACAACAACTGCAAGATGAACGTCAGCAGCATCAGAAAGATCTCGCAGAGCGTGATTTCGCCAGCGACCAGACCCGAAAGAAATATCAAGGTTGGTGACAGCTTTCATAAGAGATCCTTTCTAATGACAAGCTGCAGCTGAACTAGCCCAGTTGAGCGAAGGTGCGTAACTAGGAAACTCTGGGGGTGTACCTCACCGAATAACATTTATTCTAGAAATGCAAGCGCAGCGAGATGCGATGACGAGGCTACGAGAAGATAATCGCAAAATACATTCAGACTACGACGAGCTGCAGCTAAGATTTGATGACGAAGTCTACAATGGAGGCGCCTGGAACAGGGAGAAAGAGCGGATGGAGACGAAGATCGCCGATCTAACCAAAGCTTTTGAGTCATCGACTACTGCTCAATCCGACCAGCAAGCGCAGATCGTGTCACTTCACTCGCAAGTTCGGGAGCTTCGAAGCGTTCTCAATGATGCTGAGGCGGACAGGGCAATGCTACAAAAGGCACGCCGCTCTTTGCAGGCGGAACTTGAAGGCATCAAGCTTGACCATGTCGATGCAACGAAAATGACTTCGGATCGAGAACTACAAAAGCTACAGCTGGAGAAACAAGATCTTGAGCGATCTCTGGAGGAACAAAAAGATCGTGTAGTCATGGCCTTTGACCGCTTGAAGAGAGCCGAGGCACATGCCAATGAAAGCCAGCTGGAACTTGACCGGACCCGCGTCGAGAATACTGAACTGGATAGAATAAATGTAAGTGCCTGAAAAATGATCTTCAGTGTGCTCACTCTGTCCTACAGGCACAGCTAGAGAAGCAGGTCAAAGACCTAAACGTCCGCGTCGTTGACCTTGAAACGAAGTCATATGCAAATTCTCCTCACCCATCCTCCACTGTCAGGCAGCTGCAGGGCCGTATCGATGAACTCACTACTCAACTCAAGCAAGTGTCACGCGAGAAAGTCGACTCCAACCGCTTGCATAGTTCTGATAAGGCAATCCGCGACATACAACTACAGTTAGCTGAAAGCGAAAGGCACCACGTCAAATTGGAGGAGGAGCGAAAAATATCCGAGGGTCAAATAATTTCACTCCGACAGACACTGGACAAAGTTGTCAGTCTTACCTCTTCATTGATCATCTAGTTACTTGACTAATTCCAGTCCACATCAATAGCAATCAAGGGAGAGTGAACTTGAGCGCGTGAAACGTCGCCTAGAGCGAGAGGCCATGGACTCCAAGCAGGCGATGCTGAAGTGAGTTTCAATATTTTGAAAAGTTGAGATTGGGACGTTTACGTGTCACTTTCTAGCCTGCAGCGTGAAGTTGAACGACTGCGCGCACGCCTCAATCGGCCGATGTCAGTCGTTAGTGACGGAGGCTCCACCCCTGCAAGCTCGGGGTCTCCTCGCAAGGCGGCTCCATAGCAGTAGCTAGTATTCAAATGTTCGCCATTAATTTATGATATAGTTACATCTGAGTTACTGTATATTCCATCTCAACACCATGCGCATATGTATCTTATAGTAATCAACTCGATGGGTGTATGACTGCTCAGCGAAACATCAAGTTATTAATTGTTTTCGTCCCAAAGAGAACTCTCGGGAACTTGCGAATAGCTATCAAAATAAGGTTCAGCCACCGCGTTCCACCAAGATAGTTGGGAATCATTAGATATGGTAAGCAAGACTTCAAGACTCAGTACTCCGTCATGGTACGCTCACGTCCGCTGGCCATTTGGCTCTCTTAGTCTCATTGCTTATGTGTATATTAGCCCAAGGAAATTCGGGATATCAAGCAGTTTATCGAGATTGCGCGGCGGAAGGATGCTTCCCGTGCGTTTATACTGTTGTTGTACTTCGACAACACGCTGACTTCACGCGCACTAATCTTGTACGAAATTTTATGCATTGTGTTATGTATTCAGAGGCCCGTATCAAAAAAATCGCCGCAAAATCAGCAGCCGGGAAGGTCCAGACTAAATTCAAAGTGCGGTGTTCACGATACTTGTACACTCTTTCTGTGGACGACCCAGAGAAGGCTGAAAAGCTCAAGCAGAGCTTGCCCCCAGGTGCGTGATCAGATCAGTCTTCTAGGTGCGTTTCATTACCTGATATATGGGCGCAGGTTTGAGTGTGGTAGAACTCGGGGCAACACCGAAGAAGAAGTGAACCCCTTCTCCATCTCACACTTTAGTATGATTCGTGCGTCGCAATGGAGGGGCACCGATCGACTTGTGCATCACCACCCTGTGATGAATATGCATGCAAGTCACATGTAGTCTTATTATGAACAAAGACAGATAGCTTTCGCCCTGCTTGACTTATACAGCCTTTGATTCATACAATCATCCATTCTATAATACCAAGCATGACGCACGACCCCAAAAGCGTGCATGTACCGATCATTATGAAGGTTCGAAGTACCTGCTGCACTCTCCTTTCATATGAACGACTTCCACGTGTCCTCAGTGCCTCGATGTCGATCATGGTCGAAGGAGTATGAGACCATTTGGTGAAGACGATTTCTAGTAAAATTATTAGCAGTCGAGATCCATCCAATGCGGGCAGGGGCAGCGAGTTGAAAAGATATAATGATAGATTCGTGAGCTTCAGGTACCTGCCCAGAGTCAGCCATATAGTAGTTGTTAGTCTAAGTGACGTACTGGAAGAAATCTGCAAATACGAGGGGTAGTCCTAGGGGTATGATGCCAAAACGCGGTGCGAGATGCGTTGTTTGAACTGATAACAGTGAACATCAACCAGCTTGAATTCGTGTATCATACCTTGCTCCCAAACTTCGTACCTGGGGCCACTCCAGAGCACGATGCGCTCGTCTTCGGTGCCTGCCCCTTCATGATTCACTGTAATCCGTAAGATATCTCGGTCTTCCCTCGGTTTGATGCACGACTGCGATTCCAGACACGACATCGAGGAGTCGCATCGGTTTTGCATTTTTGACAGTATGGGTACCGGATCGGTACAATACTCTTCAATCGTACTTTCAAATGACACAAAACAGGATGATGATGATGTACTACTGTCAGTATCCACACAGCACTGATGATCATCTAAGGAGGCACTAAGTCAGGCAGGATGACGCAGGTACCATGCTCACCACTAAGCCGCGATACATCCACACACCACCCCTGCTTATAGACGGTTGGATTAGGTTCCAGTAGATAAGTGGACCACGCATCGCGAGATGAGTGCAACGGAAGATCGTCAAGTGTCGTCAGGAAAGATCCAACAGGAAGATGCATGCTCAGAGGGGAATCCTACGAAAATTTAGTAAAGGTAGTGAGGTGATCGTCTTAGGACCATACTGACGGCTTCGACATGGGCCACAATTAGCCCTCTGGTAAAAACATCTTCATAACCTACCAACAGTATCCGTTGTCCAATACCAGACCAGCCCGCAGCCAGTAGAATCAGCCAGAGCGTCAGGTTATGAAAACACCCTGAAGTTACAACCCGTAAGCGATCGAATGAAGACAACTCCTCGACCCTTGCAGAAGGCAACGTCACGAATGCGGCGGGGAACATGAAAGTCATAGATGCTCCTGCCGCCAGCATAGGGATCCGATGACTAGGAAAAACACGAAGCTGTGGCTAATGGACTATGTCATATTGTGAGGGGAGACATACATTGCTGCAGTGATAGCATGTCCACTTTCATGCACGATTTGACTGATGCAAAGGGAGAGTAGAATCAGCGGTAGGTGTTTTAATGGAACGGTCAAGCCAGGGATCTACATGCAATGAAGTGAGTGCCCGATGGATTTAAGCTAGTTACTGGAAGTGATCCACGCATATGCATTGCAGTTAACTCACAATTGGATTGACAGCATGCGTGACTCTAGAATATGTCGTTGCGCGAGTCGTGACTTCGACAGCTCTCTTCAACAACGACGCTGAAGTATCTGGCGCAGTCACTCGTAGGAAAGTGGAAGACAGGAGTGACACCATAGTCCATACGAGCAGAGCAACAGCAGTGAACATTCCAAAGATAACCAGTACGCTGCCAGTATCGTAGAACATGAGCAAAAATTTTCTTGTTCGCAGGTAGTTTCTACTGGCCAAACGTAAAGAAATGGTGTCATGATGAACATTGAATGCTCGTGTCTGTACGCGAAGGTGAAAGAAACTCCTTGGGATGGAGGTAGCGAGCGATTTGATCCTCTTTAACTGAATTCTGTGGAGGTGCATGGTGGTTCGCTCGAAGTGGCATGGTATAATTTCGTATACGTACATAATCGGACTCTGAGCCGGGCATAGCACAGCGCGGTGTGTCTGTCTCTCTTCTCACCAACGACCATGAAGATCTTCTCCCTCTCAGTTGTTCTCGCACCTTCCTCAGGCCCTTGTTCAGTTCTTAGCTCTACTTCAGATGTCTCTAGTTTCTCGTTCTACCAGAGAGGTTCTGTCAGCGAGTTTTTGACATTCTTCACCAAGACAGTCGTAGAGAGAACTCCTCAGGGCCAGCGTCAGAGTGTACAAGAGAACAATTACACTGCCCATGTGTACAACAGGAGTGGTGCAGAGCAGCTTTCAGGTGGGTCGAAGCTCTGGATGTAATGGAGCCATCGAACTTACTCCTTCCTCAGCTATTATTATTACTGATCATGAATACCCCGTTCGACCCGCCTTTTCTCTTCTAACAAAGCTACTTGATGATTTCACTGCCAAAGTCCCCCAGTCTGCCTTCGGAAACCCAGGATCAATATCATTCCCAGAGATCCAGACCTACATTCAGAAGTACCAGGATCCTCGGCAAGCTGATACAATTATGCGGGTACAACAGGAGCTAGATGAGACGAAGATTGTCCTGGTAAGCCCTCCCCTCATTATGATAATCACTCGATTGTTTTATCGGTGTGACGGTGTATTGTAGCACAAGACCATCGAATCTGTTCTCCAACGCGGGGAGAGGTTGGATAACCTTGTAGAGCGATCGAATGCTCTATCCGCACAGAGCAAGATGTTCTACAAGACAGCTAAGAAGGTCAGCAGCTGTCTTTTATGTTTGGGTGACTCGGTCTGACAGCCTCACTAGCAAAATTCATGTTGTGTGATCATGTGAACGACTATTTCTTCTCTCCTCGTTCATACTTTTTCTTTGTTGCGGTTGTTGTTACGTCGGACCAGGTAATTAGTAACACATCCGTTAGTTCTGTATTTCACATGTCGTGATCGTGTCAGTGTGGCCAGTTTGCTGCGTGTCATGGAGCAAGTCAATTATGGACTGATACCACAGTCTGTAAGTCTAGATTAGCATGCAAATTCTAGCCAAAAATGACACGGCTGAAAACGAAGTAGCCGCGCTAGTCCCGATATGCATTAAGAGGGAATCGAACCCCCGGCGGGTCGATGGCAACGACCCAGGTTACCACTACCCCATTAATGCTTGCGAGAGGACGGTGTATTTAGCTCTATCTACTACGTGGCACTAGTAAATATCTGTCCTCAGGCCACACGGATAATCGGGTGACTTTAACAAGTCGTACGATCGGTTATCGTTTTCCTCGATCCCGAGTAATTTGTTTCGGATCCCATTGGCATATAAAGCCAGCGTGGCTATGGTGCTTGCTTCACGTTCTTCATCCATATCTCCGTTTTCATCCCCCATCACTACCAGATCATCCTTCCTGTAAAATGGTATGTTCTCATCTCATTTTATGTACAGCAGCGTGAATCACACAAAACTTTGCAGCCTGCTCACGAAGCTGTAATTGTTGCTGCGTCCCGTACGCCTGTCGGATCTTTGTACGGATCACTCAAGACTTTGACTGCTCCCCAACTTGGCGCTGTGGCTCTCAAGCATGCTTTCGAGCAGTCAAAAGTTGATCCCTCAGTAGTCGAGGAGATCTACTTCGGCAATGTCGTCCAGGCTGGTGTTGGTCAATCACCCGCACGTCAAGTAGCACTCGCTGGCGGCATGAAGTCCGCATCTGACGCCACGACCATCAACAAAGTCTGTGCTAGCGGTATGAAGTGTATTATGCTTGCTGCCCAGAGCATAGAATCCGGTTACAAGACCGCGGTTGCTGCTGGTGGTATGGAGAGTATGAGCAACGCTCCGTGAGTACACAGTCCAGATTACCACTTTGCACAAGATTTACGGTAACATGTTATTTAGTTACCTGCTTCCCCGCACGAACCCTTTGTTCGGCAAATTCGAGACAAGGGACTCCGTTGAAAACGATGGTCTCTGGGACGTCTCCAACAACTTCGCCATGGGCAACTGTGCCGAGGCTGTCGCAGAGAAGTACGAAATCAGCCGAGAGTCACTCGACGAGCACGCAATCGAGTCATACAAACGTTCTGATCGCGCATGGAAAGCGGGCGCTTTCAGCGCTGAGATAGCTCCCGTCACGATCAAGGGCAAGAAGGGCGACATCGTGGTCAAGGAAGATGAGGAGTACAAGAAAGTCATCTTCGAGAAGGTTCCCTCTCTCAAGTCAGCATTCAAACCAGGCGGTCGCATCACTGCTGCCAACTCTTCAAACCTCAATGATGGCGCCTCTGCTCTGATATTGATGTCAGCAGAGAAAGCACAGGAGCTCGGCGTAAAACCACTCGCCAAAGTGATTTGTAAGTTTGAGTTCTTGTGTAGCTGTACATCGTCTGATTTGTCATTATCTGCAGCATATGCAGATGCGGGTGTTGAACCCATCGACTTCCCCATGGCTCCTGCTGTCGCTCTCCCAGAAGCACTTAAAAGAGCAAACCTGACTGTCGATGACATCGCACGTTTCGAGGTCAACGAAGCCTTCTCCGTTGTCGTCCGTGTTGCTGAAAAGCTTCTACAACTCGATCCTGCAAAGGTCAACATCGACGGGTGAGTTTTTCTACTTTGCGTTCAGGGGCTTATGTACGCTAACGAAATCCAACAGTGGCGCTGTTTCACTTGGTCACGCTATCGGAAACTCGGGCTCTCGTATCGTGGTGTCCCTCGTCCACGCCCTAAAATCTGGCGAGTACGGCGCAGCAGGCATCTGTAATGGGGTAAGTGATTTGTACCTATATGTGATGTCGCGTTACTCAAACGATGCGTTGTCTAGGGCGGAGCTGCGTCTGCCATTGTCATTCAAAAGCTATAATTGTTGTACCGCTTTTATACATTGTTGGTTTCTACGTCTGAACAACCCATCTACACTATTGTATCTGTATTTTCCCAATAGAACACGACAAGCTTTGCATGATACTTGATTGCTGTGAGAACCTCGAACAAAAATACATTTATCTACAGAGAAGTCATGTCGAGGAAGTTCGCTGCATTGTTCGAGACTCCGGACCCTTCTTGCGCTTGTTTCTTGGCATCTCGATCAGACTGTCGTTTCAGATTACGACGCTGGTCATCATTGGTTCTCGTTATGACATGATACGGGTATTTCCCCTGTCATTTTTGAAGCCCAGCACTCATGCACATGTTGTACCTGGTGGGATGATGCAGAAATTCAGCAAGAGTAAGTAGTACAGACAACGGTTACGGAGCTCGCAACTTCTGGGTCGTGACGACAACCTCCCGCCTTCCTATTTTGCTTCCGACCCGTGCTGCGGCGTTGAGACTCGTCGGCGCCGCGCAAAGTACCCGAGAATCGGTTTCGCGATGTAGGTGGTAAATCTTTGGATGATCGCGGCCCTGCACTGGTAGTAGCAGCTCCACGGCCCGCTGCCGTACGCCTGCCAATCACGTTATTCGACATGTGCAACGACTTGACGTCATCCATACTAGGGACAAAGGCCTCATGGCAAGTGCTGTTCGCTTCAGCGTTTCGATGAAGACGACAGCTAGCCGCATCATATCTCGCAGGGTCGACAGCCTATACTCGATCGGTTATACCATTGCAAAAATAGCTCGACGTCAACGTTCATGGCGGCGGCGTGACGTTTTCGGTTGACACAAAAACCTGCTACATGGACCCGCATGACACCTTGTTAATACATTTGGCGGTTCGACCCGTCCGAGTCTATCCCTCAAAAAGATGCAGACAGTTGATGGCATCAGCGGACGAATACGAGTCCTTGATATCGCACCGGCGCGGGGTGAATGAGCGTGGCATAGCGCAAATAATAACTGCATCAGCGCCGTAAATTCGAATCATCGTGTCCATATCGTAGTATGGGCGGAGAAGAACAGAATCGCGTAGACTCGCCCAGAACCAGCCTATTATCAACCCCGAACAAAACAAAACATGTAAGTTATACATAGATATCAGAAATGGTGACGTACATTCGATTCGATTCGTATCCATGCATGCGAAATTCTACGTCGTGCACGAACCTATTCGGCGTATAGGCGACATGAGCAACATGCCAGTGACCTCGCCTACCTCGCCTTAGTATGCTAGTAGTGGCGCAATTGAACCTGATCATTCGGACACGATACACCGCGATTGACGTACTAGTACTATAGAATCGACACGTCCTTTATACCCATCGATGGCACGAAGCGCGACCCAAGCGTGCACCAGGTGCACACTCAGGTTAGGCTCATAATGAGGGGTAGGAGTGAAAATGAAAGATGACCCTGCCAAAACGAGGCAGAGCGCAGAAAACGCACACCCACCAAGGATGCAGTGAGACTTTGAAATTTCATCGAACAGTTTCTTACTACGGGTTACGGTGCATATGCATTGGAGGTTCGTCGAGGCAAAAACTTTAATTCCCCGAGTAAGGCTATGCGAGGCACGAGCAGCTGATCAGGGGTTTCTGCACTGCATATTCCTCCAAAGTTGCAATAAGATGTTTGCATAATATTATCATCGCCACGTCGATGCTAATGCCAATTGTAACAATGAAAGCTTCAATACAAGCTTCGAGGGCCAGTAACAACGACGACGACACAACAAGAAAAAACAAATGAGCGTAACGAGCGTACGACGACGCAGTCGGGTAAAAGCCAGAATCTAAGATACGAAGACTACGAGACGTAGTCCGTGTCAATCTCCATGGCACGTACCGTTGTAATTAAAAATATCAGTCCATCTGGATCAATCTTGGTACCATCTACGCCAACAAGTCATCATCACCCGCAGAGGTTCCACATCTTCACATAATCACTATTCCAAACCACATCAGACCCAAGCCAAAAAAAGGGGAAAAAAAACTCACATCCTAAACGCACGCTCATCCGGATTCGAAGGCCACGTAGCGCTCCACTGTTCGTACTTACTTGCGAAATCGCGCATCGCAGCTACATCGCGTCAGAATGAGCCCTGCCCAAAGCAAGAACAAAAAACATACTAGCAGATCCATCATACCACGGCTTTCCACCTACACTATCTGGGAACCACCCACTCGTCCCGCCAACCGCCAGATCGATCACAAGATAGAATTCTGTCCAGTATCAGTCTTGACATCGAATTCCAAGCTTTTCAAAAAAAAACTGACCCTGATCAAAAGGGGCAGCAGCACTCCCCCCATATGCCGTACTCCACGGATCTTCGACGACCACTTCCTTTCCACTCGACGCATTCATAGCTACACCTGGGAATCCACCTGTATTGAAGAAATAGGAATCGGAGGATTTGGAGGATATTTTTAGGTTGATCATTGCCTATTGTGGGTTCGGTTAGTTCGGGTGACAAGACGGGTGGACGGGTAAGTAGAACGGGACGGGTACGGGAAGGGGATGACCGAGGGACAGCAAAATGCCATCAAAAAACGGATAAGACCGCGGGATACAGCAAACCAAGAACAGGAACGAAAAAGAAGAGAATTGTAGGGAACGGAGACGGTAAACCTACCTGCAGCCGATCATCCGTATAAAACCTCATCCACTCGCCGGTCCACTCCAACGCATAAACGTGGAACCCGTCGGCAAAATTCCCGCGTTTGGTGCTTACCCAGCCGTAGATGCTTTTCAGGAGGTTGGCGGTGGTGCTTGTGCCTGTCAGTGTGTGTTAGGGGGTGAAAACAACGTGGCTGGACAAAAACGATGAAATATACGTAAAGGCCAATTGAAGTCGAAAAAGACAAGTTGGTGAACCGAGAAACGCCAATCGAAAGCCAAAAATACAAAACCACGAATGAACCGAAAAGAACTCCGCCCCAAGCGCAAAACCAGGAATAAACGCTCACCGGTAGAGATGGGCGTAGAGCCACCCGCAAACGGCCCATAATTTAGGGACGAGCGGACATAGTTCGAACCTTGAGCGGGATATGAAGGAAGGTTGCCGCGGGCTTCCATTATCTGTGGTGGTATTAACAGGGGTGCCGGCAGAGGAAGAGGTGAGACTTACATCGATCTCGCCGCTGAGGGGCCACGCGCCATAAACTCCCGTTCCCTGAGCTGTGCTTGAGCTTGTACTGTTACCCTGAGGAAGCATCCAAATAGCGGGCCACAACCAGTCTCCCTGAGGCAGTTTTGCGCGGACCTGGGATCTGAAATTAGCAGGCTAAAAGATTAAAGACACAGCAGACGCACCTCGACACGGCCATACTTGATAGTCTGTTTTCCACGGGTATTAAGACGACCGCTCATGACGGGGTTGATGATAGTGCCGCTCTGGTTATTTGAAACAGCTGTGCATGGGTTGCTAGAGGCGGTGGTGGAATTACTGCTGGTAGTAGAATTGCTTGAACCGGTGGTCGTGGAGTTACCCGAGCCTGTTGTTGTGGAGTTACCGTAGCCAGACGTTGTAGAGTTGCCTGATCCATTAGTAGTGGAGTTGCCCGAGGTGGTAGTTGAATTGTCATTGCCTGAATGGAGTGAGTGAGGGAGCGTGGGAGTTGTTGTTTGTTACGCACCCGTATCGTTGTTTTGCCGACGAAGAACCCACGCGCCTTGATCTATGACTACACGGAATCAATGAGCCTCGGAAATGAGTAGGAGGCCAAAACATACCTCCGCCTTGAGCTGTACAGTCTGGAAGCGAATAGGTCGCTCCATCCATGACCGAAGCCCAGCCGCCGTCGATGGAGTCGCTCGTGAGTGTGGGCATGATGTAGAGTTGTCCATTTGAGATGTAGACGTTGGAGGGATTGTCGGTTGTCATTTCAAATTCACCGTTGCTAATGAAAGTTAGACAGGGATTGTGGTGTTTGGTGGGACGTACCCGAAACCACCGAGCTCGACGTCAAGACTCCAATTATTGGGGTCGATAGAACTGTCAAAGTCGTCTTGCATGACGAGACAGAGTTGACTGTCTGAGAGGAGGTCTACGGATTCCCAACCTCTGAAGCAGAGTGCTGCTGCTATAAGGACGCCCAAGAGGGCAGCTACAAAGGTGAGCCACCAGCTTCCTGATTCGCAACGACGTTTCTTTGTGAGCCATGGTTTATCGTCTTTGGTGAGTTTTGATTTGAGGCGGGTTGATTGAATTGGTTTCTTCTGTGTGAGGGGGAGTGCGATGACAGAAGGATTAGCGGATACGGGTGGAGGGGACCATATGGTTGATGGACGTGAAGCGGGGGATAGAAAAGGCGATCTGAAAATTGTTGTCGCGCTGCTTGCTCTTGGGAGTTGTAAATCTGGTGAGCGATGTAGGTTTGCCAAAGAGTAAGAGCGGTTGAACGATTTGTAGGGAGATTCTGCTGATGGAAGACGTGGTGTCTCGAAAAAGCTACCGTCGAGAGACCTTCTTGCAGGGTCAGCGAAGGGGAAGGTGAAGGCGGAAGGGGGAGGGTCTTGACGTCGTTTGCTTATTCTTGGTCGTGGTGAGTCTGGACTGTCTTCCTGTGATGAATGGTCATCTGAACTTGAAGGAGTCAGAAAGAAAGGACGGGGTGAAGCCATGAGGGCAAGGTTGGGTAACCCTTCTCTGTTTCTCTTTGAAGGACCTTGCTTATCTTGTAACACGTAATTGCCGTATGACGCGTGTGTAACGTACATCCAACCAGATTCAGAGATCCCAGATCTGATCTCACCATTTATATTCCACCGCTCTCTCCCCAAACTCACTCACCCAACTCATGGACTACGACAGATACGACGCTACTCTCCACTACATCTTCAAACAAACTCAAGGTGACGCTTGGTTTAGGCCACATGAAGATTCAGTCCCTCCAGGCGTTTGTCTTCGTACCCATGACGGTCAATTCAGAGTATTCCCCTACGAAACTGCCGCACTCGCTCCATTCGAGGCTGCTGTAGCTGCTCTCAATCCTCTCGTTGCAGTCAAAGTCAGAAGTGCTGCAGTACACGCTGCTCTAGCAGAACAAGCTATCGATGATTGCATCTATGTCGACTCAAATACTCGCATTCAAGTACTCGAGTCGATGTACCTCCTTCCACAAGCAGAAAAGGATCAAAACGCTGCTTTCATTCGTGATGAACGCGTGCTCGTCGTTTGGAGCGACTCTCTTGATACAATCATCCCAATCGCACGTGACTTTGAAGATCGTCTCATTCGTCTACTATGGCGTACGAGACCACCTCTACCTTCCACACACGAACCCTCCATATACTCTGAAAAACCAGCAGATCCCCGTCTAACTCCTTCCTCCACCGTAAACTCAGATTCACAAAGACGAACATGGTTTGGTCGTGTCGTTCCTTCACAACAAGACCCAGAAAAGACCGAACAAAAACAACCAACCCGTCCAATCATGCTATATGCTCCGCTATACAATGGTCTATGCGCTGCACTCGCTTTCAGTAAGTCACAATACCCTTTTTGTTTCCTTTCCCTCACCTTCTCTAGTTTTCATCGGCAACGGCGTTCGCACTCTCCTTCAAGAATTTCGCCTAGACGGCAACTACACTCATTTTGCTCTCGGGGCCCTAGTGCCACTTCTCTTTTGTGTATCCTTGGTAACTATTCCTTTTATATCATATACCCCCTGCTTACTCTTTCCAGTTCTTCACTCTTCAAATATTCCAAACACTCACATTTGCAGTCGGTCCCATCGCTCATTACCACCAAAACAGTCGTTACTACTCGGCAGTCCCTCCACTGCCAAACCCTGCCATAGACAATGCACTCCCTCACATCACAATACAGATGCCCGTCTACAAAGAAAGCCTTGCTACAGTCCTGTAAGCCTCTTCTTTGTTGGCTGATCCTCGCTAATCCATCCCAGCACACCCTCCCTCACATCCATCAAAACAGCAATGCAGACATACGCACGTCAAGGCGGCACATCCAGCCTCTTCATCAACGACGACGGCCTTCGTCTTCTCCCCCAAGATCAGGCAAAGGAACGTATCGAGTACTACGCAAACCATGGGATCGGCTGGATTGCAAGACCACGACACGGGCACGAAGGTCACACTCATTCTCCCTCTAGCCCGTCAACGCTAACATTGACACACACAGGCTTCACGCGCGCAGGCCGCTTCAAAAAAGCCTCCAACATGAACTACGCACTCGACGTCTCCCTCCGCCTTGAACGCATCCTCGAGGAACTTCAATCATCTCACAATTCCCTTGAACAATACCCTTACAATCGCCAAAACCAAATCCCCAATTCAAGCAGAGATAGCAACATATTCACTCCTCCCAACCCACCCTTTCACCGTGCCAGCGTTAGCACCACATACAGTGCTCAGACTGTCCAAACAGAGGGCGGGAGCATCGTTAGCGTGCCTGGGCAATCCCCTGGGACGTACGGGGTCCAGTATATCGGCAAGGACGGGGACGATCAGGCGTTCATCACTCCTTTTCTCAGTAGCAACAGCAATGGCAGCATGCCTGGGACGCCTAGACCCGGTATGACAGGGAGTCCACGGACTATCAGCCCTGAACCCCCCACACTCGCAGGAACGCATATCGAAGACATCGAAGAGCGGGCTCTTCAACTAGCCATGGAAGAAGGTACATCTTCCATTAGTCTCGTTTTGACTAATCACGCTAACTCGAAGCAGTATTCCAAATCACAGGACACAGACCATGGGCAGCAAACGCCCGTGCCTGTCGAATTGGAAGCATCATCCTATTAGTAGACGCAGATACGATCGTCCCGACGGATTGTTTTAGGGATGCAGCAAGAGAGTTTGCGGAGGACGAAGGCGCTGAAGTTGGCGTTCTCCAGCATGAGAGCGGTACGTCTCCTTCCCCTGTCCTCTCCGCTCGCTAATCTGAACCCAAATCTAGACGTCCTTCAAGTAGCCCACCACTACTTTGAAAACGCCATCGCCTTTTTCACCCGCCGGATCAACAAATGCATAAGTATGATGTGCGCAAACGGGGAAGTAGCACCTTTTGTAGGGCATAATGCGTTTTTGAGGTGGAGTGCGTTGCAGGATGCGGCATTAAGTGGGGTGGATGCGTCTTCTACTCATGATTCTGGCACGGACAAAAACAGAGCCCAAGTCAAGATCTGGAGCGAGGATAACGTCAGTGAAGATTTCGATATGGCGTTGAGGCTTATAAGACAGGGGTATATCGTTAGGTTCGTCCTGTTCCTTCTCGAGGTGGTTGTCACTCACGTTTACTCTTAGATGGGCAACCTACTCCCAAGGCGGATTCAAAGAAGGTGTATCGCTCACTGTCGATGATGAGTTGAATAGGTGGCAGAAGTATGCATATGGGTGTAATGAGTGCGTTTTCTTTCCTTCCTGTGTATCGATATTTCCGATTCACGGCTCGCACAGGCTCCTCTTCAACCCCTTCGTCAAATGGTTCTACAAGGGTCCCATCAACCACCAGATCCACAAGTTCATGTGGAGTCCTGCACCGCTCCATTACAAGATCTCGATGATGGCTTGTACGTCCCCCTCCTCCTTCTCAATACTCATACTGACTCCATCACAAATAGACATGTTTTCATACTGTACGTCCCCTCTGACATATAAAACAAAACAAAACACTAACTTGAAACAGACGGAATAGCGGCCTCAGCGACCATCTCCGTAATCAACTACGTCATGCTTGGTTTCCAATTCCCCACAGACGATTTCTACATGCACAGTTTCGAAATATGGCTCGCCACTTTTGTTGTATTTTTCGGAGCTGGTAATGTAGGGTATGTGCTTCTGCGGTATAGGCTCGGAGAGTGTGGTATCGTAGGCGCCACGATCGAGTGTTTTGGGTGGATTCCGTTCTTGTGAGTCTTGTCCCTATTCGTATCCTATTTCGTGAACTGACGGCAAATACAGCTTCTTCTTCTTCGGTGGACTAAGCATCCCGGTTTCACAAGCCATTCTCGCTCATTTGTTCTCGTACAACATCACGTGGAGCGCAACAAAGAAGGAGGTCGAGAGGTCGAATTTCTTCAAGGAGGTTCCAAAGATTTTCAGGAGGTGCGTTTCTTTCTTTCTTTTTTACTTTGATTTGCGTTTTATTTCCATATATTTTTGCATTGCTTCTGTTTTGGATTGGAGTCCGGACGCGTTTCCGCATCACTTGATTGGACGCGTCCGTGTCACTTGACCAACGCGTTGCGTTGGCGCCCATGTTTTGTTCCGCCGAACGTACGCATCAGTGAATTGAGGCGTTATCTCCGTGATTGGCAATGATTATCTAGGAAATATTGGTCTCGGCACATGTGCCTGGGCGTTGCATGTATGGTGCTGGGACGGACATGGCTGGCACACTGCCACTGTAGTGCTGGACACGGGCATGTGTGTTTTTTCTGATGATCGGAGGACATGCGTTCGCGGTCTTGCACCCGCTGCAATGTGGTGCGCCCATATGCACGACTCACGCTTCGTGAAGCGGTCATTTCGATCGTCTTCGACTCATCACTGAAAACGCCGCACCCTATTAACTGAAGGCCTTGCCCCCTTGTTGCCTAGTTCACGTGTCGCGATATCCGCACTTTCTCTTCTCTTCTTTTTCCACGCCTTTCCTTTCCTTGCTTCCTTGATGTCACAATCCAGTGCTGACGGTCATCATTGGCCTCCTCTCCTCCATATAGATTCTGGTTCCCCCTCCTTGTATGTATCCTGCTGATTGCGGGTGTCGTCATCGTCAGCACGCCGTTGGTGCCATATCAGTGGCAACTGACCGCAAACGCGTGGGCCGTTATCTTCCCGTTGACGGTTGTATGCGCTTGTCATATCTTATTCCCGGTACGTCTCGTCAATCTTGTCTTCCATTCTGCGATTGGAATGAACGATCGTCCATTTCTGGATTGGATCATGCTTCTTCCAACGTTCTTCCCCTCGCCATCCTTGTCTAGCATGCTTCCCGAACGTTCCTCTTCTTCGCTTCGGCGCATCCCGCTACCTTCTTTTTTTTTCCACTCGCTAGTGAAGCATCGATGCTAACACCGATATTCATACCTAGATCGTCCTCAACCCGTGGCTCATGATCTTCTCGTACTGAGCTGAGGACCATGCACAATCACATTCTCGCACTCGGGCAGGGTTCCCCGAATGCATGACCTCCTTGCTAATTAATCGCATATCATGCTACTTAGAAACGAAGAACAATCAACATACTCGTCAATCACCGTCGAATCACCATTCTTTTTCATTCGATGCGTCCCAGTCTGTTTTTATTCTCACGCCAGGGCGCAATCCGGAAGTCTGCCTATGCCTATATGTATGCAACTTATTGTCAATCGGACAGGACATTCGGTTACGGTTATTGTTACATTCCGCAATTGCGAAGATGCATGTTGTCTTGTAAGTTTGGACTTGTTTACCTTACATACCCGTGTTTGAACTTTTGGACAATGTCTTGTGTCATGTTGTTGCTGTCGTCGTCATCATCATTCCATTGCTCTTGTTGCCATCCCGATTCCTTGCTATGCACGAGTGACGTGAACACAGGGCTTGTTTTGCAGAATTTTCCCGTAGTTGTCAACTTGTTAACAATGCTTCCTTGGGTATTGATATTATAGATAGGCTATGACATTACCGGGCCCTCTTTCAATCGATCATCGGCAAGATTCTTGGGTCAGAGCGCGCATTGCGCAAATAGTCTTGGAATCTCTTATCAATTTGGTTATATACAACGGTCACCGGTCACTGATGTACGAAATCGATGATCACTGATGGGATATTGATCTATCGATATGTAAAAGTGGATATCTTGCTCTTGGCTACAGGAGTGCATCACGGGATGTACCCATAAATATCAAATGCTCACGTCGCGCCCAAGTTGACGCTCATTTGGCCATGAACGTTTGAACCGTCGACTACTAATGACCGTGTGGCCAGGGAATTTTCATTATCCTACAAGCGGCGTTGGTCGTAAAGGCACAATAGCGGTCGTAGTGCGGAAGCGTTGCGACCTCTAGACTCTGATGCATGATGGCCCGTCGGGAAGTGGTGCCCATGTATGCCAGTCTCATGACTGGACTTGGCATAACGTTGTGATCCTGTAGATAAGATCATCGAGCACCTGAGAAAGGAAAAGACAGGGCCATTCATCGAACGGGCGTGGACTTCCGCTTGGGTGGAGTAAGTTCTATCGCGGACTCTTCGACTTTTTTTTATCTCGCTGGCTTTGCAAATACGATGCAGAAGACTTGATGGCATGGGTGCCTATATCATATGGACACTGCCCAAAGCCACTGCACCGCATGATAAGCTCTGGCACAGTACTTGAGGTGTGAGATCATAGGAGTGCCTCACAGAAGCGGGAATATAGAATACTTGTTAGGGGTCCGCCGCCCGAGGTTACCCGTACCGAACTACCTGCAGAACTGAAGCTTTGTAGAGGTGCGTACATGATGGTCTGCATATCCGATCTATATCCGAGAAGTGCGTGATATCATGCCCAGGAGTTGTTCACCCGACGGTGCCGATGACACTGCAGGGACACAGAAGAATTAAAATAAAAGGATTTAGACACATCCATGACAAAATAGTGTGCGTCTGTAGTGCGTACGTACCACGCAGTGCTCTGCTATATAACGGCGATTGCGATAGTATGAGAGTGGAATTCCCCCTACTAGCGCTAATCGATGAAACCCCATCACCATCACGTGCTATTGTTGCAAAGCACTGGAATCACCTTCTAGGACGATTCCGAAGCGAAGATACGATAAAGTGGCGGCCCGAGCGTGTTTGCCGGTGATAATTGTGCATGATGGAGGTCTGCACAACAAACAAGGAAAGAAGATACTTGGAAGGTACGAGCCTATCTCGTGCTCTAAAATTCTCCGGAAAACTGATACAGAAGATGCAGTTATCTTCTATGAACGCCCATCTAGTCTTCCTAGCGATGAACCGACATGAGTAGATGAGTGGGCGACTGCCGCATCAGTCCAAGAAGCTAAGAGACTCACAGTACCCGATCTGTGCCCCGGCGACCTTTGGTCCCAGCATCACCAGGAAGTTCTATCCGTACTCGGCGACATTACGAATGTCCTCATGATGTTGTGTGCAGACAGGCTAGCGCCCACATCAATGTTAAACATCACGTGACAAGATTCACACCACCATTTGACGGCGCTAGCAGATAAGTTTGTGCATGTTTTTGGTTCATGAGCAAATACTTGCTGGTGGTCCAAAATGAAGGATATAGCGTCTCAACCTTTGCAGATATGACTATCCATTCCATGGGCTCGGACGGCCGATATCCATTTATTCATTCACAGGCGTGCTAGGTTGTTGAATCCAGACGAGTGCCCTGTTGTACAGACACTTCAGTGGTCAGCGCTCAGTAAAGGATAAAGCTATGTTCAAGTCTCATCTAAACGTAATGGCTCTCATGGCTGTGTTAAATCTTTGTGTAAGGATCTAGACTTCACATGCCCCTGCGTTATTGAGTCACTTGCCGTGAGATGCGGGCCTGCTCAGCTGACAAGTTTACGTCGTCGGAACTCAGTGATCATAGCTTTTTCTGCCGATCTCAGGCTCGGAGCAAACACAATGCTACTATGTGTGGGTCACCAAGTCAGGCACTGTCGCACCGCTCAAGCGCTCAAGACTTTGTCGGTTCCTTGATGGTGAGCCTTTTGAACGCATGTTGAAGCTGTCTACGACACTCGATGGCATGACTGTTTGAGCGAGGCCTAGGTTCGATGTGTTATACTTGATCGTGTTCCAACACAGCGCGCTATGGAGTACAGATCCAGCTGCGCTTAAATTTTGCGACCACATAATAAACCAAGCCAGGTCCGATCTATGGTACGCCGCATGTATGATGTATTGAAGTTTTAACCCTGGTGCCTTGCCAAGGATGTTATACAGTTCACTCCCTTTGCTAAAAACTCGTCTCACTTGAAAAATGAACGCCTGATTTTTTGATATAAAGAGCAGGAACAACAAAACGATGTGATTTCCACCATCACTATGTTGCGTCTGTTGTGTATCGCCCTGTCTCTTTTCTTATCCCTTCAGCTCGCTGTTGCAGACCCTGCCTCAACAGTCTCACGAGTTCCACGTCACTCCAAGTCATCGTCACTAGTACTGACCAAGTCTGTACTATCAGCTCTCTTGGTTCCCCGAGGGAAGTTCACTGCTCGACAAGGATGCCCCAGCGGATATCGTAAGGAATTCACGTGCCAAGTATGAAGCAACACGTTGCTTACCCGCCCTAGAGCAATGTACCAACTACCCGGACGCATGTGCCCCTACTGGCAGCTTCTGTGTAAGGTTGCATGATGAGCCTTTCCACTGTGATTAACGATTTGAGTCTAGTGCAGCGATTCGTATAACTGTCCAGATGGCACCACTGTACGTACCTTCGCATCTGTTTAGATCCCATCGTCAAAACCGAGTACTGATCGACGAATGTTCCAACCAGTGCTTCGAATCCGAGTGAGAAAATATTTCAATCGATTTTCTTTTCTTTTCTAAAATCTGCTGTAGATGTTGTCCCAGTACCGCGCAAACGTGTAATGGAAATGCCTGCTGCAACCCTGGTAGTGAATGCTGCAGCGACGACACCTGCTGTGAATCCGGCTACTCCTGCTGCAATGACTCTACCGGGGGATGTGTGTTATATTCTCTATCGATCGCACGAGCAACGCTAACATCTATTTAGGCTGCCCTACTGGAACTACGTGCATCGCCAATTCTGATCAATGTTCCGCTGGAGGCTCAAGTTCTGTGGGTGGAAGCAGTGTACCCACTAGCATTACGGTTACTACTCCGTCCAAGTCCACTGTGCTGCCAGGAACCACTTCTAGCAGCAGTCCTGTAATTACATTCAACGGGCCCACAACAACTTCCAGCACTTCTTCCTCCACTTCGTCGACAGCTTCATCCGCGGGGTCTACTTCCACTGGTTCGTGTAAGCAGCCTCTTACTTCTAATCCGCGACCTAACCTTAGACCATACATTTAGCACAAACTGGTGCTGCTCCTCGTGGTATTGCACTCGCACCTGGAAAACAACTTGTGGTCTTGGCCGCAGTTGTTGGTTTGCCGATCCTCCATAATGTCGTCCAGGCATTGTGAACAAGCAATGACACTTTTCTTCTGATCATCAGCATTTGTTGAGGTTGTGATTCATGATATGTTCACTTTTTTTTACATACTAGGACTTGTAATACGACATTTTGCCTGCAAATTGATCTAGTTGGTTCGCGATTGCGGGAGATCAGATCGATCAAGTAGCGACTGAATGACTAGGAGGCCAGTCGTAGCTAAGGGCCGCCTCAGAAATCACAAGAGATCACTCATTCGCATCAGATACGTTTGGATGATATTGCAAACCCATATCCGAGTTCAGGCATGAGATACGACTGGATGATACATTACAAACCGATTTCTCTAAAACAGTGCGAGTGGTGTTGATACATTAGTGTGGGTGTTTGACTCTTGTAATACAGTGACGAAAATCGGGTGTCTGTAGTTTCCGTATTAAACATCATACTATGATTGCTTTGAGTAGTGACTTTATCATATGGCAGCGTTCACTCACCCCAACAACCATCGAGGTGAGCGTGGGGATGTTGGTGAACCTCGATGTTTGCTCTGCTTCAATAGATTGAAAAGAGCCTACAGAAGTACGATTATGTAACTTACCTGCGTCAACGCACGTTGCTTTACCGATGATGCGAGGACGACGAATAGAATCAACATGGAAGATATTGCAGATGATTCCAGGAGCGATCTGGAAAATTTTCAATTCTCGCGTCAAACTCTAAGCATCTGTATTTACCTTTGAGAAGATATCCCAGGACATAAGGCTGGATTACCATAAGTATATGAACTAGATACAGTTATAATCAGTAGACGCACCCAGTTTGCTTCGGAATGACAACAACTTGGCCATCAAGAGTGATACGCAGGACAGACTTTGAGGACGTTCAGACTCATGGAGAACCACGTTGATGCTTTGGGATGACTCACTTTGCCACTCGACATCATCTTTATCTAAAGTTAGTACATGTTTCAAGTGAAAAGTTGGAGACGAACGTCGATGTCCAAATCTGAACATTTGGTTATCATACACTATCCATGTCGCAGACAATGCAGAGAGCTTACCGAGTGCTTTGCAGATATATCGCAGGACGGCTGGGCTCTGTTCTGACCATTCTCGACAACTGGAAGAAAATTTGGAGTAGTCTTCGTTTTGAGCGTACATGTAGTATTTCACCACTGAAGCGATGACTGCGGAGAACAAGGCCGCAGAAGGGATGATTTCCTCGAACAAACACAATGCTATCTCCTCTATCGAAGCCTGTGGTGTGACTTTGAGAACCTCCGAAAGGAATGCTTCGCCTTTATGCGATGACACATGGTTTGAGAACAGAAGATCGCATATACCATTGATTGAAATCTGATTCACCAATTAAGCAGCGAAGCATATAGCGAAATGTAGGATAATTACAATACCATCAGAGAGTCTTTTCAAATGGCCCTCAAGGTATAACATAATTAGCTGGGTAGAGCGCGTGGCTTTTTCGCGAAGGATCCAGTCGGAAGCAGGATCGTTATTGAAGTACAAGTAGCTATGCATAAGTCAGTGATGGGAGGGTAATCATAGCAGATAGACTTACTGTGCAATGTTGAAAAAAGCTTTGTACCAAAATTCTGGAGTCGCCTGCGACGATGATTTGTCCATCAATGGTAATCCAACCTGAACAAAAAAAGGTTAGACTCCAAGAAGCCTGTTGATGTATCAGAGAGCGGACCATGATGTCGCCCACCCAATAAACGGGAAGGAGGTTCAGGATTTCAAGTATGTCGACGTGCTTATCAACTTCGCGTCTCTTGAGTATCAGCTCACTTGTAAGGTGTGCGAAGTGTGAAGTAGACACGGTGTGTTCAGCAACTTTATCAGAGATAGGCTTTCTGATCTGAAAATTGTAACGATGAGACCCATTAGATTAGATAACGGAGAGCTTGAAAGGGTCTTACTGCTTCGTTCCGTACCCTCGGAGGCGTGTGTAACTTCGAAAGTCGACAATCATAGACTCTAACAACGCTCGTATCAGTAGCTGCAAACGCAGTTTGTTGAACAGCCAAAGGCCTGTCCCAATTGTAAAGATGCCGGATTTCGGCACCATGCGGCACATTGGTCATGCTCGAAGCAAGGAACTCTGGAGTCAGGAAAGGAAAGTGAGCGTAGACTGAGCCCACGGGGTAGTGATCAGGGAGCATGTGAAAGAGAAGCTTGGTGAGCATGCCACCATAGGATCCATCCACCTTGTTGACCATGCAATGCTCGTAACCCCATGTTGTCAGGTTGAACGCTATCATGAGAAGCTCAGCATCGATGAAAAAGGATTTGGCTCAAGAATCAGTTGACTCACGAGTGAAGTCTACTGTAAGAAACCTGTCTCCACGAGTCAAGCATACAGCATCGGCAAGGATGGCACGTGAGATAGTGTATCCAGGGCAAAGGCCAGCGCCAGGAATTGGAGGTTTTGTTTCCTCAGCCTGCAGGCCCACCTGGTGTGAATCAGCAAATGCAAACCGTCCAAGGCTGTTATCGAGGCTTACATGTAATTCTAGGTTTTCAATATCGCCGTACAAGCGTTCGGCTGCGATCTATCGATGGTCAACATGCAGGTAATCATACAACAGAATTGATCCCTACATAAATCTCTGGATCGGGATTCCATTCACTGAAGCTCTTGTATGCTAAAGACAAATTATAAGTGATTAGACTAGCGGAGTGAAAACTACCTCACGTTTCAGGCCAATGAAGCGACGAAATTCGTTCAGCTAGGTTTCAATATTAGTGTCACTACTAGTTTTTACAACCCATATTGGACTTACTGAACAAGCACCCCAGGCTCGTGCCTGCTCCATGCCCAAAATCTCCACAATTCGCATGGCGGCCGGAACGCCCCTTGCACGAAAGGCACAAGCCCTGTCGGCCGTTGCATCCTGTAAGACACGGGCGATATTGGCATCGCTGAATCGACCATCCTTTTCACGGGTGAGACTGTGACTCGTTAGCTGGAAATACACGACAAGGTGAACACTTCATACCCGCCAAATGTCCAACTATGAATGTTAGGTATTTGAGCACCATCCTTGTGGACAGCAGCCTTGAACTCTTCGACAGTGATCTAAGGAAACAAATATAACTTTTGAACACAGCATATAAGGAGGGACACACGCACAGTCGAAGGGTCTCTGTCAGGGAGAATGTTTTTGAAAGTGCGTTCAATCCATGCTTCATCTTGACGCGACATCGCCGCATGCCAACGATAGAGCATGTTGAACTCCAGAGAAACGGCGTTTCCAGCTCCTCGTTGGGAAACGTCATGCGTCTGCTCACGAAACCCCTGAATGAAAGTCAAAATGGATAGTGAGTCCTGCGAAGAATTCCGGACCTGAAGTGGATTCAATCGCCAAGTCAGTCCATCTCTGACAAGACCAAGAATGCCTCCAACGTAGTCCGTTAAGATGATCTGCATGAAAAAGGCTGTGTTGACAAGTCGAGCGCGGTGAAAGATCTCATCACACTGGGCAGTACGTTGCGCTTCTCGAAGATCTGCTGGGCGTGCAAATGTCCCTCGCTCGTTGAGGCTAAGGATCTTGCTTGCGATATACTGTTCGGTGAGTTAGCATATCTCCTTTTACGCAGTAGAACAAAGACGGACATTGTGGTGACGACTGAATAAGACTGCAAGGGCACCCACAGAGGGGGGCATGAACAAGAGACGCTTGTCAGCGAATACATCCTCCCAAATATGACCGGTTCCGTCCTTCTTGCGTATACTATCGACCTGCTCTTCGTTGTGTCCATATAGGATACTCAGGTCGAGGTAGCTGCTGGCATTGTTGATCGTCCAATCGTGGGAGTTCGTATCGAATATACTGTGAATGATGAGATCTGCAAATGCGAAGAACAGACTGGAGAGACCCCCAGGATGAGGGACGAAGTCATTCCGACCACGACGCAGAAGGGTATCAAATACCTCTCCTGGATCTGGTAATGGATAACGCGACGAAACATGCGTAGATGGTACAGATCGCGCATATGGTTGGCCTGCTTGACCAAGGTTCGGCACGGACATCGAATAATTGGAGCCATCAGCACTGCGGAAGATATATGGCATGTCACTGGAGCTGGACGGCGGCGTCGTTACAGGTGTCTTCAAGAAGCTGTAAGGTGGGTGAGGAAGATCCTTATAAACTAAACGCGCCTGATCAGAACTGTACATATAAGTTGTCGATACAGATACACGTACGGATATTAATCACGGAAATCTGAAGTTCTTTAGCGAAGACTGAGTCGTCTGGAAGGCGCGACATCAACATCAGAAGTTTTTCTAGCTAAGTTCCACAAAAAATAGCGTGAGTTTGCGTCCAATAAAAGACGACGGGGCCTACCAAAAATTCCCGGTCATCGATCCCTGACTTGAGGTTCTTCAGTGCATCAACATATGCTGGCTGATAGAAAATAGCTCGCATTCAGCTCAAGTTTCACAACGGCCGACGGCCGACTCACTAGGTCAGCCAGGGTAAAGGCGGGTCCTCGTGTAATCATTTGTTCAAAGTCTTCTACTGATTTGGTTCCTCCAAGGAGCGCGATAATGTCAACCTGGTCGGATATGCATGGAATAATATTGATCTTTGTTACAAGTGACGCTGCTGCTCGTTTCATCATGATGGTATGGATGTTGAAAATGAAAATTGGTTTAGTTGACTCAGAGGAAGGACGTGGTCAAGGAATGTGGTACTGATAAAGGCCCAGTATGACTGGCTATATATGCATCGGGTCTGAAAGGCATTCAGTGACAGATGTAAAAGGCCGCCAGAAGGAATTCCAGTGTCAAGCAATACTTAAATAATAAACATTACCCTTGCAGCTGGGAGATTCAAACGTTTATAGAGAGCGAGGGGACATTCATACGAATATGTGTTTGAAGGCCAAATCCGAAATTTGGGCTGCTGGCAGCCATGCTTGTATATCTAGTAAGTACTGACTCGGAGACACGCGATGGATGCAACGGCCGCGTCAATTGACCAGACGCTGCAGGACCACCAGTTGGAATGTGTGGATCGGGAATATATAAATATCAATGGCCGCGCTTGCATGTAGTTCTAGTTAAGGATTTGGTCGTTACAGCGTCGACGCGTCGGTGGCGTGGTTGAGTCCAATCAGTCCATGCATTCACGTGGTACTATGTACATTGCGTAATATCATCATGTGATTTCAAATAACTTGAAGTCGGTAATCTTACAGGCTTTCTTACAGCTCAGGCTCCATGAAATTGTTGACGGACCAGTGCATTGAATCACGGCTAGAAAGCTTGGGCAGTTAACATAGATCTCTGGCAACCAAAAGAAGTGAAGCTTGTCCTCGGCAGCTGGTGCCAGCTGGCGCTCTCCTCATTTCACAATTGCTGTAGTAGTGCCAGTGGGTCTCGTGTCTGCTAAGGCTTAAACCTTCGCGGGACTCAAACCCCTGCCAGAAGCTTCCCTCTTTCACACCACCATGGTCACCAACAGACTCTGGCGTACTTTTTCTGCCTTCAACCGATCCACCCGAAGCTGGGAACCCATACCTTTGCGAAACGTACAGAGCCAAGTGATATCCTCTTTCTCCAAGAAGTCACGCCTAAGGTCCGGGCCTCTCTCCTAGACGATGCGAGAGTGCGCGCTGCCTTCCTGATGACTGACGCCGAGGACCAAACGTCGTTTAAGGACGTGCCCTTTGCAACTATGACGTTGCTGTCCAGCACACGCTTTACCTCCGGGCTGGATTCGCAGAAGGAATGCGATGGGATCGAGGGAGGGGAAATTTTCATGCTCGGGCGCGTCTCCCGCGTGATTCTCCCGAGCAAGTACAGGAGGGATGCGCTTTGTGTGGACATCATCCCCCCAATATCGCCGGGTACAGTCTTCTGTCTCGTCAGCGTGCACCTCGACTCGCTCCGGCATACGCTACACTACCGCGCCCAGCAGATGGAGATACTGGCCAACGTCCTACGCGAGCCCGGATGCAGTGGCGGGAACATTGCGGGCGACTTCAACGCCATCAGCCCCGAGAATGATGGGCTCGTCGACAAGAACGAACTGGTAGATGCGTGGGTCGCATTGCATGGGAGGGCAGACCTTGAGGGAGCTACATGGGGTGCCGGCGTGGAACGGCGGGACGGAATAGGGCCGGGCAGGTTGGACAAGGTTGCAATGATGGGCTTAAAGGCTAAGAAAATGGAAGTCTTCCGCCCTGGTACTATTGAGGTGCCCAGGCCGGGCGAGAAACCTGTAGAGATCCCTTGGAGTGACCATTGCGGGCTGAGATGCATCTTTACTATCTGAATACTATCAAGCACCCTCGATGAGGAGTAATTACTAAGTTTGTCATGATCATAGACGTAGAGCGAAGACGCCAGAGCAACTGCGTTTTTCTTTTTAAACGTCGAATGCTATATATCCCATTCTATAATTCATCCCTTTTGATTGTGTGCGTTTATAGTCCTAGTGAGTCGTTAAGACCTCGTCCTTTGCCCCGTTACTCTCACCGTCGGACATTACCGATACCGAGAACATGAAGGGACCAAAGAGTCTTAGGGTGGGGTAAAATTAACCGGTCAGTTAGTATTAACTGGGTCATGAACGCATGGGATAATGTCAAGTCTACCGCAAGTGGTACATTGTTAAGTAGTAAGTGTCAATTAGGGATAACTCCAGATAGCTGAAGCCACGGCCACGACGTCTCTCATATCTTGTACATCATGGACTCTCACAACGCTTGCGCCCTGTTGAATAGCACAAGCCACGGTCGCTGCCGTTGCCCATTCTCGTTCTTTCGGCTCAGTCTTTCTCCCTTTGTATGTCCCATCCGCATCTGGGCGTTCTAAAATTGCACCGAGAAATGACTTCCGGGACGATCCAATGAGTCGCGGGTATCCTGCGAGTGCGTTCACGGGAGTGTTCGCTGTCATTGAAGAAGCCTCGCGAAGTAGTGCGCAGTTTGCTTCAACAGTTTTGCTGAAACCGATACCAGGGTCGACGATAACGAACCACCTCCGCACACCGCCTTTGCCCTTAATAATTGCTTCCACTTTCTCTCCCAACTCAACCCGCACACCTTCTAGAACTCCGCCCTTGTACTGGCTGTAGTCTTTGTTTGAGCCTGCATCACCTCGTGAATGCATCAAGATGACAGGAACAGCGAATTTTCGTGCTACCTCTCGCATTTTTAAGAGGTGCTTTTCTGAGGATTGCGCAAGGGGGTACTCAGGACCCGTGAAGGAATACACATCATTGATGCAGTTTGCGCCAGCCAGGACAGCAGCATCCGCGACTTCCCAACGGAATGTATCGATTGAGATAAGAGCGGAACTGACGTCCTGATCTTCATGTGACCGTATAGCCTGAATGACGGGCACTACACGTTGACACTCCTCTTCGGGTGAGACAAATGCTGCTCCCGGACGAGTTGAATAACCCCCTATATCAATGATATCGGCGCCTGCTCGTACGGATGCCGCAGAGTAAGTCAGAGCAGCTGATAATGTATTATTAACAGAACCATCCGAGAATGAATCTGGAGTGGCATTCAAGGTGGCCATCAGCCTCACTTTCGTCGGTCGTTGGATGTCACTTGAACAATGGGTGGTCCAGTACCTTCCCATAGAGGGCACCTGATGGGTGCCCAGGAGCTGTCGTGTTTCGGTGATCGGATAATCGGCGAAAGGAGTGACTTTAAGCATTGGGAAGTCGACGTTCGACTGCCTAATAACGTCACCCAGAAGTGTGCGTATTGATTTCTTATGAACTGGATGCACGAATTCTGGGATCATGCTAATTTTGCAAATTTAGTTGTCGACAATAACTAAAGCTGTTACACACACTCAGCTAGAGGACGCAAAACAAACTCTCGTTCTGCCATGCGTGGATGCGGTACAACAAGTTCATTGGCCAGACCATCGAGGGTATCTCTCAGGCTTTCAGCACGAGTATCAATGATCTCGTTATCGTACAGTAGTATATCCAAGTCAACCGCACGAGGTCCATTCTGGATAGAAGGTATCCTCCCCACTGTCGTTTCAATTCTTTTAAGTAATTTCAATAATATCCACGGTTCCATGTTTGTCTCGACCTAAAGGGCCCTCAACTAAGTAACAGACCTGTGGCCATCAGTTCTTGGATGGACGAACTCACTAAGCACGCACAATTCGCAAATCTTGGCTGGTCTGTGACATACATAGGCGCAGTTTCATACATGAAGCTCGTGTCAACGACCGATACGGTGTTAGCAGCCACATCGGTCAACAGCTGATCAGGTTGCTCAATCAAGCGCAAAGCAGTTTCAATGTTGGCGAATCGATCGCCAAGATTCGAGCCTAGTGCGATTGCCACGCTGTGCTTCGCTGATGAGGGATAAACATTCCGAATTACGGATGTTAAGGGACCAGTCATAAATAAAAGATTCTAGAGGAAGTGGTGTATGAGAACCTATGAGTACTCTACCTGTGGCGGGAATTGATCATTATTTATGATTATGTAACCCTGACGAAAGAACTTCGAGAACCACGACGTCGAGGTTGTACTTGTACTATTTTTCTCCGGGCCTGCAAACATGACAATGCCAAAGGATAACCCATACCTTGCCCATCGACATCCCACTGAGCGAGCTATCTCAAGCGCAAGCACTCTCAATGGTGCCAGCCCCTCCTCAAGAGAGCCTCTCTATGGTTTTGTTCCTCGGATGGTTAACGCAGATCAGGTCGGACAAGCATTGGTATGTCCTTTCAATAGTTAGCGTCGATGTCGACTAGCTGACTCGGTAATTTGCTTAGGAACATGATTTAAACCCGTTCACAAAGCAGCCCCATACTGCACAATACAAAAAGATTCTGGAAGCTCGCAAAAAGCTTCCTGTGTTTGCACAGATGACTGAGTTCTATAAAATAGTAAGCTCTTCTTCTTATCGCACCCCCATTCACCCCGACTTACGTTTGCAGTTCAACAAACACCAAATCATTGTTATGGTCGGTGAGACCGGCTCAGGCAAGACCACGCAGTAAGTTGGTACCCCCAAGACAAATATTCTCCCTTGTCATTTTTGAACAGTCGCTTATAGACTCTTTTTGTCACTGATAGAATACCCCAGTTTGTCGCCTACTCTGATCTTCCGCATACCAAGAACAAAATGGTAGCATGTACTCAGCCCCGCAGAGTCGCTGCCATGTCTGTGGCTAAGCGTGTAGCGGATGAGATGGACGGTCTGTTTCTTTTACTTTGTGTATTGACCGCATTCTGAGCTTTTTCCTTCCCTTAGTCCCACTTGGTCGACAGGTCGGTTATTCAATACGTTTCGAAGATATGACCGAGCCTGGCACCACCTTTCTCAAATACATGACCGATGGAATGCTCCTCCGTGAAGCCATGAACGACCCTGATCTCAACCGTTACTCCACTATTATCCTCGACGAAGCCCACGAACGTACCCTCGCTACCGATATCCTTATGGGCATCCTTAAATCCCTCGCCCAACGCCGTTCAGACCTCAAACTCATCATTATGTCTGCCACCCTAGATGCACTCAAGTTCCAGAAGTACTTCGCTGTCTCTGGCGGCACCCCCGCCCCGCTCTTCAAGGTCCCAGGTCGTACTCACCCTGTCGAGGTGTTCTACACCCAGGAACCGGAGCCGGACTATGTTGAGGCTGCCATCCGCACGGTGCTCATGATCCATCGCGCCGAGGAGCCAGGTGATATCCTATTGTTCCTGACGGGTGAGGAGGAGATAGAGGATGCGTGTCGGAAGATCAAGCTCGAGGCGGACGACCTTATCAACTCCGACCCCGAGTCTGTAGGCCCTCTCATATGCATCCCACTGTATTCGTCGCTACCGCCGCAACAACAACAACGCATTTTCGACCCGCCACCGAAAGCAGGCAGTCCGGACGGTCCCCCAGGACGCAAAGTTGTAATCAGCACGAATATAGCGGAGACATCGCTGACGATCGATGGGATCGTATATGTCGTCGACCCAGGATTTTCCAAGCAAAAGGTGTATAACCCGCGCATTCGTGTGGAGAGCTTACTCGTGAGTCCGATTTCCAAGGCGTCAGCACAGCAGCGTGCAGGCCGGGCCGGCAGAACGAGGCCAGGCAAATGCTTTAGGTTATACACGGAGAAGGACTTTATGTCGGAGCTTGAGGAACAGACTCACCCAGAAATTTTGAGGAGTAATTTGGCGAATACGGTGCTGGAGCTTGTCAAGGCGGGGATTAAGGTGAGTGTGATGTGGGAGGATGTTTTCAGATGGGCTGATACGTGTGTAGGACCTTGTCAAGTTTGATTATGTGGATGCGCCAGCACCAGAGACGCTAATGAGAGCATTGGAACTGTTAAATTACCTCGCTGCGCTGGACGATGATGGGAACCTCACGGCATTGGGGAGTATCATGGCTGAATTCCCTCTGGATCCACAGGTAGGCGATTTTTCTGGTGTTGGGGTTCTTCACAGTCCTGACGAACGTTCCTAGCTCTCGAAGATGTTGATCGCTAGCCCAGAATTCAAATGTAGCAACGAGATCTTGACGATCACCGCAATGTTGTCAGGTGCGCACTTAGCCTTGATGTTAACTCTCATCTGACGCTCCTGCAGTACCAAATGTGTGGCTGCGGCCGAATAATCAGCGAAAAGAGGCAGATATTGCAAAGGCGCAGCTGACCGTTCCTGACGGTGACCATTTAACACTTCTCAACGTGTACAACAACTACATCCAAAGCAAGTTTTCCTCTTATACACACATATATTCACTTACATCTGTCCCCAGATCAATACGACAAAAATTGGACATGGAACAACTACCTCTCCGCTCGAGCGCTTATGCAAGCAGACAACGTACGCGAGCAGTTGAAACGAACGATGGAGCGGTTTGAGGTGGAGCTCATCAGCGTGCAAGATCAGAAGAAGATGTTTATGGCGATTAGACAGTCGTTGTGTTGTGGGTTTTTCATGCAAGTCGCGCATAAAGAGGGAGATAAAGGGAATTATATGACCGTGAAAGATAACCAGGTGCGTTATGATTGTTTTGGGTAGTTTGCCATGCTGATGGCTTTTGTTTTGTGGTAGGCCGTAGCACTACATCCGTCTTGTGGGCTGGACACGCAGCCAGAGTGGGTGATTTTCAATGAGTTCGTGCTCACAACGAGACCTTATATACGGACTGTTACGGATGTGCGACCAGAATGGTACGTTCTTAAGCATCTTCTGTGGATTTGCTTTGCATTGACGTTCCGACAGGCTACTCGATTACGCGTCTTCGTATTATGATCTAGACAATTGGCCAGACAGCGAGGCGAAGCGTGCGTTGCTGAGAAATAAGAAAAAGCAGGCGGGAAAGTTCGAGGCGCGGTTTGACCAGGTGGAGCCGTCAAAGGAGGGAGGGGGTTCGGCGAAGAAGAGGAAGAGGAAGCAAGGGTAGGATAGGCACCACAGGGTTCGCTTTCGTGCGTTATGCGTGCTCTTGTTATTTTCTTCAATCTAGAATATATATGGCCTACCTCTGAAGATCTGAAGCTTAAAGCTTATAAACATGAAAGGGCAGCTGTAAGCATCAGCTCCCCAGTCTAGCATATTCCAACTGTGTTTGGACAAATATTGCAATAGACTACGTATTCTGCCGGACAGTGACTCCGTAGATTCTTGATATTTACTTGACATTCAAGAATGGATGTATTTCTATCGTGTCTAGGATAAACTGTTGGCTGGTGCACGAATCTGGAGTGTGATAACGCTCATGTGTAGAACTTCCTGTTCTCATTCGGCCCAAACAAGTCTCTTCTAATCTCGGGGAGCATCTACAAAAAGTATTAGACGAGAATGAACCCAACATTTAGTGTGACCTACCTTATCCTCTAGAAGTCTCAGTCGCTCGTCCAACGTGTTGTCGATGGTAATTCGTCGCGAGCTACTCACAAGTTTGACGCCACCCGCACTAAAATGGGTTTGTTGAAAGAATGGCGTCCCAGGAAATTCGATCGACTCACCAATCTTTGCTCAGAGTCGTCTCCAACTCAAAAGACACCTCGCGCCCGCTGACCTGAGCATATGAATCTACGGCTGCTTCTCCTGCCTTTTGCGCGATATCGGCATCCTGTTCGCGAACATGCAACACGACGTTTGTCTCCATAAGCTGGAGAAAGCCTTGCACGACGGCGCCTTCGAGGAGCTGAGAGTAACGCCCCTCGTCTTCGGCGAATGTCAGAATCGATGTCCGAGCGATAGAGAATAGTTCCTGTAGTTGCTCCTCACGACGTTGTAGAAGCTTCAATCGCGATTTGTTGGTCAAGTTAGACTGGGCGCTGAATGACACTGGGCGATCAATGTCATCCAAATATCAGGCGAGTGGGTTAACATACATCTTCTGTGCGACCTCAGCACCCTTGCGCTTCTTCTCAAACTGTGCATCAATAGCCTGTTGTTCTTGCTTCACGAGTTTTGCCTTTCAAGATAGACACACATTGCGTATGAAGGATTATGAAGTGGAGTAACGCTGCGTACCTTCTCGATAGCAAACTCCTCGTCCGCTTTCACTTTAATCTCGCGTGCTTTCTCCAGAGCCTCCTGCTTGATGAAAGCAACCTACATACACGAGCTATGATGTTAGATACCGCTTATATTTCGACCGAGGAGGGGTAGGGCATCGGCATCATATATGCGAGACTATGCACAGACGTACCATCTTATTCATCTCACTCAGGACCTCCTCATCATTCATCGGTCGTGGAGGCATCTTGGAAGTATGAACTTATAGGATGGACCGCGCTGACTGGAAAGTGACAGAGCTGCGTACTAGTACTCTGGAGTCTGGTCGCAAGCCAAGTGGCCTAATGAGGAAAGCCGACGTTGTTGCGGCAAAATCCGCAAACCCAAAAGTTTCTATCTTGCTCACCGTCAAAGGCGTCCTTGAAGCAGACAAAATCATGGCTCATCAACGTGTTGCACTGTGGGCTGCCGAGCCAGATCTTGATGATGACATCAACGATACAGATGTCGACATCCCTATTCCGATGCCCTCGTCAACCAATGAAATGTACGATGAGCCAAATCTTCAGCTCGACGAAGGCTCCTTGCAAGCAATGCAACAGCACATCGCGCAACAAGCTGCATTTGCACAAATTCCGGACGTCGTAAAGCGCGTGAGTATTTTATCAACTAGTCTATGATCTTATGTTCAGTAACTCGTAGTTTATCGTCCATTTTCACCAAGCTGTCTTGGACAACAACCTCCAGGAGGTAACTCTCGCTTACGAGTCAGGCTGGACTCGCCTCACCGAGAAATACTACGCAAAAACGGAGTGGCCAGAAGCAGAAACCATTGCACCATTGGTCAATGACGATCAAATCTTCCTCATCTTGTATCGTGAACTGTACTACCGACACGTGTACTCAAGACTTCAACCCAACGTAGACGACCGGTTCCACTCATATGAGAAT